AAAAAAAAAAAAAAAGAAATAAATAAATTGAAATAAAAATAAAATTAGCCTTCCAAAACCCCAATCAAAAAAGGAAGCTGAACCCAAAGGGGAAAACCAGAGGTTAATGATCCGAACCTGAGTTATTGATGCTTTGGGGTATCCCCGAGGAAGAGCCGACATGGATTGTTGCACTCTAATACGATTCAAACTCACCTCGGCCCCGATCGACAGATATCCATTGGCTGCGATGACCAAGTCAAATTACACGCTTATCAGCTTATCGCCGTTATCTCTCCAGGTCATCATGGTTGCTATGTGGGCAATGGAATTAATATGATTATCAACCACTAGCGCGGTGGACCTCGCGGTAATCCATCCCGTGGGGCCGAAAAGACAACGAAGAGCAACCTGGAAGAAAACAAGCAAGACACAGCACTAGCTTGACGGCGGTTGCCCAGGGAGGTGCGAACTGACAGCTGGTTCGAAAAGCTGTCGCTACCCCGCTATTCAGTGCACATTTCCCGTTCACAGAGCATGCACGATGCCTGGTCATCCCGCGCCGGCCTCATTTTCTTAACGGCCGTGATTATTTTGATTCTCTTGGCATACTCGCCTCGACAAACTGGGTCTGTCTGGATGCCAGGATGTACCGGGGAGTGGGTGAAGCTCGATTTGCTCGTGCGCATATCTTGCTCTCTACGGAGTACGCTGAGTCTACACGACACCCACCCTGCGTGTTGTACGATGGGCATGGTGGTGGTGCTGACCTTGACTACGATCGGGTCAATCCGACATCGCAGGACAAGTCGATGGAGCAACTACTGCAAGCGTTGCAGTTTGATACCAACCATGAAGACTTGTCTGGCTGAAATTAATCCCGACGAAAGTACATCTCCCTGGACTGGGCATCCAGACACAAGACAGAAGCGACGATCGATCGTTGCTACCTCGAACAAGACGACCAAAACCCCGCCGAGAGTGGATCCGGATTCATTTGAATCGTGGATGCCCCTTGCTTATTTCGTCGTCCCGTAGACATCATAGGACAGAGGAGGCTGTAAACTGCGTAGACTGTCTAGCATGAGCGAGCGAAAAGAGGCTATTGGCATCGGGCCTGTACTTCCCTAGCGTCAGGTCGGTTACAGACGTGAAACGGGGTGACCAGACTTACCGTACCGCAGGCGGGAACCGGATGGATACACGATCGGGTAAGATAGGAATGGAAACTCGCCGGTGAGACGAGGCATCCTTCACAAAATTCAATTGATACAGCTTCATTGGTTTCCCAATCCGTCGTTGGCCCCAGTGGCATTGACGATAATTTCGGCAAATGTCATTGCATAGACTCCGATCGTTTCGTGGGGAGCTTGGAAAAAGTTTACATTCTACTCTGGAGTATTCATCATCTAGCACTATTGCATTGAAACCCACCAATGAGCGGATGTGATGTGGTTTGGCAAGACACAAAAGTACCCCTTCAGAGGCCTTGATCATGATAGACATGGAAACAAGGACGACTAAGGATAAACTCTAAATCTGCCATGTGCATGTGGCTCCAGTCTTGTAATCATCCCAAGAAAGGGCCGAACGAAGGAGAGAGGCTCCTGTCTTCGGAGCTCGTCCGGACCAGACGGGTTGCCCGAGTGCTGGCTTCTGATCGAGTCCGCCCCGCCGGTAGCGCATGGACCTTTTGCTCTGCTATCAATGCTTCTCTGGCAGGCCGGTGCCCGATGACATCTAGCCGGTCTGTCATGTCTCCTCTCTGCTGATTGCTCCGGTCGAGACTGGAGTGGATAGGACGAAGGAATCCGATGAGCGGAGAGGCCATTCCATCCTCCGGAAGCGTACCTTGGCCCTAGTCAGGAAGAGAGGGAGAGAGAGAGAACAGGTTAGGATATCCCCTGTATGCATAATACGGGCTGTTATACGTCGACCGTGGACAGGGACCATGAGCCCAAGGTCGGCCCGATGGTCTGTGTAATTGCATGCATGCAAGGCGCATTGTCCGCGATTCAAGAGCCTGTTCCCAATATTTGTTCTATCCCTCGTTGAGATTGTTCCCCTTCCCTGGTCTGGTCTACTTTGATGACTTGGTCTCGGTCAGAAGCCGAAAGCTTCATTCTCGCATTATCGGCGGGTTAGTCAGGTATTATTCCGGGAGACATTTCGTTGGTTACCATTGTCCGTCCCTGAACAAAGGATTTCAAGAGTCCTTTCGGAATGCTTCCTCGGCTTCAGCCCTTGACTCACTGATGGTGGATGGGTACGACGTTCGGGATGTGGACTACCAACCAGAGATGATGAGGGTCTGGTTCTCAGTCCATTACTTGTGCATCTTTGAAACAGGCCATCCGGAGCGATCATTGGCGGAGTTTAACTCCCCAATACGGCCGAACGGGTCCTGAAGTGGAATCCTTGATTTTGGATCTAAACTCATGAAGGAAAAGTACTACTAATACGTGCCTGTGCCTCCGGTTTAGCGCTGGTTCGTCTGTTGCATTTTAACCGTCGGTTAGGAAGAATGGGTCCGTTTAGGTTTTAAAATAACTATGCCAATCCTTTAGATTTCCGACGTAGTGGTTGGCAAGTCTCTCATCATGCTTAGGTACGGAGTACATCAGGCTCAATGGTTTTCGAACCATTTTTGTGTATAGTTCCGAACGATATAGGGCCGGATCGTGGTCCACCCTCCGCCAGGGATCAGGGGATGGTTACATGCGAAGGATTCGAATTACGATCATGATTATGTCAAGCCTTTTCTCTCATGAAGCACAGAGAATCCTGACGGGATGAATTTTCATTTTAGCGTGCTGTAACTTCGAGAACATCCCCGACAACGTTAAAACCACGAGCTAAAATGGGTCGCCACCGGAACTCGAGTCGAGAGGTCGGTCGGTACGGTACTGGTAATACCAGTGTTCCAGGTGTCGTCTCCCCGTTGGTTTCAGTCCAGGAACTTAATTCCAGCGGGGACGCAATATAATTTTTAATGATTCATGATACATCCATTCATCCATCCCGATCCTGCCAGCGTCGGTTGGAAGTGGTCACATAGTTGCCGCTGGGAGAGGCATGGGAGCATCCCAACAAGAGTCGGAACGAGAAGAATGAACGCTCTCTCGGAAGGGGAGGATCATTGGAGGAGTGGAAATTAATTTCAGACGAGGCTGCAGTATCCCTGCGCGGATTTTCTCTTCTTAGGGCGGGAACCAGAAAATGTGACGCCGTGAGTTTCTGGAAAAGGCAAGGATGTTTAGTTCCCCCAGGATTATTACTGGTTCCGTATGGGTATGGGATGTATGGATATCATGGATTCCGTATGGATACGCCCGTTTCCTCCGCCCAGAATCAGTCCGTCATCCCATCATCCACTACTCTCTTTCTTCCTTTTCCACTCTCTGGACTTTCTCTTCTTTTTCCCTCCCCCCCTTCCCTCGTTGCTCGCCCTCTCCCCCGTATTATTCTTATATCATCGGTTTGACCGTCGCATCAGTATCTTCCCCGTGAATCACTTTTTGTTTTCCTGGTATTTTACTTTCCCTATCTGGGATTGCTCCTCGATCAAGCTCTACTTTATTCGGCCATGTGCGTCTAGAGGGTCTAGCCCCTCTCTCTTGCACTGACTCTCTTCCCTTAGACTGTCAGCCATACCATAGAAGCATCCCGGTACTAAGAAAAAGAAAAAAAAAAAGGAAAAAGAAAAGAAATTATTCTACGCCATACCTTCAATCTGGACAAATAATAACCAGGGGAAAAAAAAAAAAAAAACCAACGAAAGAGGGGCAACGAGAGGAGACCGAACGATTAAAACTGGGTCTGGGTTCATTCATGACATACATTCGTCGTCGTGAATTTCAATAGGTACGGACTGATGCATTCCACTCGCGACTTTTTAGTTGCGTGTCCGTCTCCAATGGCTCTTCCTATTCCTTTTCCTTTTTCGTTCCTTTTCCTTTTGGGATAGATTGATTATTCTCGTTACCGATTTTATTTTCTACATGGCAGTGGTGGTGGACCCCATCCACTAATTATTATTGGAATTTGATTTGGATTTGCTTCCTGTGACGGATCTCAGACCAAGTGCCTAAACTATAACTGACTTGGACCCCCTTCAGATCCTAGCTTCCCGATTCTTTTCCACCCAAAACAACTGCTGCATCCTCCATCCTGCACGCAGTGTTCGTTTAGGGCGGGTAGACTGGAATTTCGTCCTTGCGCCACGGACCAATCGCCCGCGACGCTCTCATTCCTACGTTGAGCTCTTTTTTCCCTCCACTCTCATTGCTTGCCGGGCTGATTCTTGAACCTTTTCAATCATCCTTATCTCTTTCTCCCATCCGGCTTGTGATTCCTATCTTTCCCTTTCCCCCCCCTTTTTTTCTTGTTTGATCTCCCCCTCCTCCGTCTTATCGCCTATTATCGTGATCCCCGCCCTTCCCAATAAAGAGTAGGGTGAACATGTCCGGGTTGACCCTCGGGCGAGGCCCTGGGGGCGTGCGACCGACTCAAACCGCAACCACCTTTACCACCCACCACTCGTCCGCCGATGCTGACCGCTCCAACAACATCCCTCCTACCTCCTCGCAGTTGTCCGATGACTTTTCTTTCGGCTCCCCTATCAGCCCCGCCGACTCGCAGGCCCATGAAGGCCTACTTCAAGACTCGCTCTTCCCCGAATGGGGGTCCGGTGCGCCTCGGCCTGGCATCGACAGTCCAGATGAGATGCAGAGGCAAGATCCGTTGGCGACTCAAATATGGAGGCTCTATTCTAGGACCAAGGCCCAGTTGCCCAACCAGGAGCGTATGGAAAACCTCACCTGGCGGATGATGGCGATGAGTTTGAAACGCAAGGAGCGGGAACGTGCTCAACAGTCCATGTAGGTTCCCCCTCTGCAGAGGAACGGGGTAGGCCCGCTCATGATTAACCTTGTGTCTGTGAAGGTTTCCTGTGAGACCCGGGAGCGCTGGCCCCAGTGGGATCGCTCAACTACGCATTTCCGACCCGCCCGTTGCCACTGGTAACCCTCACTCGGCCGACCTGACCGCCGACCCGATGAACCTCGACGATTTTATCGTGCCCTTCGAATCTCCTTCGGACCACCCCTCGCCCATTGCCACCAAGCACACCGACTCCACGGCGTCCGCGGCCATTCCCATCAAATCCCGGAAAGACCAACTGAGAGATTCGACCCCGGTGCCGGCCTCATTCCACCACCCGGCACAAGATCAGCGGAAGAACAGTGAATTCGGCTACGTCCCCCGTCGCGTGCGCAAGACGAGTATCGACGAGCGTCAGTTTTTCTCGCTGCAGGTGCCGACCCGGAAGCGACCGGCCGAATCCTCGCCGCAGGTGCCGCCCGTGTCCAACTCCATGTTGGCCCACGATCCGGAGCTCGCCACCGGCGTGCCCGATTATGCTTTGGATCCGCCGTCCTCGGCCTTTGGCTTTCACCAGGGCAACCACCAGCAGATCAATCACCACAACCACACCTCCCCCGGGGCGCCGTTTGGCTTGGATACGTTCGGCCTGGGAGACGATCCGATCTTGCCCTCGGCGGGCCCCTACCAATCGCAATTCACCTTCTCCCCCAGCGAGTCTCCGATGGCCTCGGGCCATCCGTTCGCGAACCTCTATTCGCATACCCCAGTGGCGTCATCCCTCAACTCAACGGATTTCTTCTCCCCCCCACCATCGGGCTACCAGTCGACGGCGTCCACCCCGCAGCCCGCCTACGATGGGGACCATTCCGTTTACTTCGATATGCCGTCCGGCGACGCGCGCACCCAACGCCGCATTCCGAACTATGTTTCGCATCGGTCCAACTTGTCCGCTTCGCTGCAGCCTCGGTATATGTTCAACCAGAACAACCATGAGCAGGCCAGCTCGTCCGCAGTGCAATCGCCGAGCTACCCCATTCCCCAACCGCAACATGTGGATCCCACCCAGGTGTTGAACGCCACCAATTACTCAACCGGCAATTCCCATGGTGGCCCCATGTTCACCTTTGGAGCCGATTCGGATAACGAGGATGATGATGGCCATCAGCTGCCGGAGCGGGCTGGTCTGGCGATGCCCACGGAATTTGGAGACGAGAATGACGGATTCTCGCCGGGCATGCAGTGGGATGGGCAGTTCCCGGGCTCCTTCCACTCGCTGCCGGGCTTTGGCCCCCAGCATCGCAAGCATGTGACCATTGGGTCCACGGACATGATGGACACCCCCGAGGAGTGGAATCATGGTGGCAGTTTGGGTCGCACTCATGGGTCGGTGGCTTCGGTCAGTGAGGTGCGCAACCGAGAGCAGGACCCTCGTCGGCAGAAGATTGCCCGCACCACGTCCACCCCCAACACGGCCCAGCTGCTGCGCCAAAGCATGAACTCTAATAACAATACGTCCCATACGTCTCCCAATACCCCGCCGGAGTCTGGACTGAGTAGCGCCGTTCCGTCTCGCCCGGCCAGTCCTGGGGGCAGCAAGAACGGTGATCAGGGTAGCAACGGACCAACCACCTGCACGAACTGTTTCACCCAAACGACTCCGCTGTGGCGTCGGAATCCGGAGGGCCAGCCACTCTGCAATGCCTGCGGTTTGTTTTTGAAACTGCACGGTGTCGTGCGTCCACTGTCCCTGAAAACGGACGTTATCAAGAAGCGTAACCGCAGCAGTGCCAACAGCTTGGCGGTCGGCACATCCCGTGCGTCGAAGAAGACGGCCCGCAAAAACTCGGTGCAGCAGGCATCCGTCACGACTCCGACGTCGAGCCGCGCTCAGAACGGGACTTCCTCGGAATCCCCTCCCGCCGGCTTTAGTGCCGCCGCGGGACGGTCGAATGGGGTGGTACCCATTGCCGCCGCTCCTCCGAAGGCAGCTCCCTCCGCCGCCGCCTCCCCTGGCACGGGCCAGACGCGCAACCCGGTCCCGGCCGCCCCGAAACGTCAACGACGGCTGGAAAAAGCCTCGGAGATGGACATGGACGAGGCTAACAAGTCCGCGGGCGGCCGATCCAAGGTGGTACCGCTGGCGCCCGCCATGCCACCGGCGGCAGCCAATCCGGCGAACCATAGCATTGCTGGAGGCCAGGGAGCTAGTCAGGAATGGGAGTGGTTGACCATGAGTCTGTAAACGGCCGCGCTTACTTCTCTCCTTCTCTACACTCGTTTCTTAATATCTTTTTTTTGAACCCTCCCCTTTATTTTCCCACCGTTGATGCTACGCCATGACCGATAGACATGATGAATACTGCAACCAATGGAATCTCGCTAGACGAGAGGTGTTAGATGACGTGGCCCGCGATGCACTTAATGAGATACGACAAGGTGCACTCCGACGGTTACGCTGGTTTAATGGTGACATGACGAGGGATTGCGTTCTGTTATTTCGGGGTTTGATCTGTTCCAGTCTGCGATCTAACAGCGACCGAATCCTCCGCTGTGACGATACACAGCTTGTCTTGTGGTTCTGTTGTGGCTTTCTGTTTGTTTGGCTGATTTGATTTATGCTTGATACAATCGCGTCTGTCCGGACCCCGGCCTTTGTTTTCGTTTCGTTCTGATTCTTCACTGCTACTGTGTTCTTTGTTTTTTTGATCTTGTTCAAGGCTTGGGGCCGGGCAGAAGTGCGCATCTCTGCTTTGTGTTTTCTGTCACCGTCCATAGACGCTGTATGTATCTGGTACAGCATGATTCTACTTATCCGTTTGAGTCTGTATCCATTGTAAGTGTAGCCAACTATCGAACATGCATAAGCTTTATATTTTCAAGTAGTCAGCCACTACGCAGTAGTAGATGTATATTATGTTAGGCACTGAGACCAAGGCATAGTTCCCAGTCTCCATATATATAGACACTAACTTGTAGTCTTTCTTCAGAATAATAAGGATATACTAGCCTCGTAAATTGACGTCATAGAATATAAGCTTAAATAGGTATGTTCCACAACAACCCCACCCGGAACAGCCTAGTAGAGAATAGAACAATAGCACAATAGAACAAGAAAAAAATGATGACAATAATGGATACATTATTGCAAATAGCAACGATAATCAGAGCCCACCGTAAAGTAAACTAAGATACAGTATTGATCCCACCCGCAGATATTGTAGTATATATTTAGTTTAGGGCAAGTTGCGTTCTAGTTAGTATATACCACTGTGTACGCAGTCATCGTACTAATCCATGTCAGTCCTTCACAAGTAGCAGCTGTAAAGTTGCTCCTCCACATTCTTGATCGGATGGTAAGGGTAACGGTACTAATACTGATGTTTTGTCGCTTTAGCGACACCAGTGCTGTGCGTTAGTAGTAGATATACCACGTCTTTAGATACTATAGAGGATGGTTAATGAAACAGTTATCTGGTCTGCTCCGGCACCATACTTAAGTGGCACCTGTAGTACTGCCTCATTTCCCACACAGATAGATACTAGATAGTGGCAATGATGCCGATCTAGTTTCGCTTATCTGGCTTGTCCTAGCGAAGTGCGAAGTGGAAGTCTGACACTTCCTCAGATTGGCTTCCAGTGGCGCAGATTAGAGGAGTCTGATCCCAGTCCCGCTAATCTATGGTGAGTTAAATTCTGTTTGCATACATGGAAGCCTTGATACAAGCTATATATAATATAATGGATAGTGAGAAGTACCGTGGGCACGGGAGACTGAATGAAGATGAGGTTGGCCCCCTCATTGGGCTGTGAGGAGTCATATTGTTCTATCATAAGGGTGACGCTCGAGTATGCTCTTCAGATCAATGAGATAGTTCGAGAAAAGGGCTAGTGGAGAGTTCTCTTACTAGCCCATTTGGAGATTTAAAAAAAAAATATAATCCTTAGTTCTGTTTCTGTGGATGCGCTCTATGATTGTTGGCAGCAGATTGCACCAGCCCTGCCTCGGTTCGGTCCGAACTTTGGGCCTGTAACTGAGGGAGGCTTTGCTCTAGGTATATTCATTCTTGGTTTCTTGGTATCTAGAATTGCTGTGGAACATAGTCGCGGACTGATCTCGATATAGTTACAAGATTCAGCATGCTGCTGTACCATGTCCGTGTTTCATGGAAGGACTTTGAAGCGAAGCAGTGCTTGACGTATTAGCAGATGTACTCTGTAATATCGGTATTTAGAAATACGATAAGCCAGCTCTTTCTCTCCAAGAAACCACGGGTTGCGCAATACTTCTTACCTTATGCAATAGTTATTGGTCAATACCGAGCTTAGGGCTATTGCATACCAAATCGGGTAAGTTTTTACCTGAGGCATAAACATGACAAAGCCATAATCACGTGGTGATATCGAAAATAATTGAAGATAGCAAATATCTCAGCTTCAATATTTCCTCGCTCAATTGACTCTATATCAAGGACAGCTGGTCGTCTACTGTGCATTGCCATACTACAAACAGAACTTTATACGTCTAAGAACAATTACTTGGATTAACGACTGCACCCACCACAGCAACCTCCACCATGGGATCCAGCGCGAAGAAAAAGAAGGAAAAGCAGAAAGACTTCACGGTAAGCCCATTCTTTTGACAAAATAACCAGACATAAGCTAACAGAACACAGAAAGCCAAGCTCAAAGTCGGCAAAGCCAAAGGCAAGCCCGAGAACTTCACCGATACCAGTTTCAAATCGAAAGGTCCGCCTTATCTCTACCACTGCCCAGAGAGAAAAGAATCATCCAACTGACCAGCCCAGGAATCGTCCTAAACCAACAATCCCTCACCTTAAGCGCCCCCACCTCGAACACACAATTCACACACCACATCTCCCTCCTCAGCTCCAAATCCGACTCCCAGCGCCGCGACTCCCTCGCCCACCTCACAACCGCCATCAGCTCGCGGCCCGTCAACTCTCCCCTCCCGCAACCAGTCAGCGTCATCCTTCCCTCCCTCCTCCCCCTCATCCTCGATGCAAACACGGGCGTGCGTACCCAACTGCTCAAACTCTTTCGCGCTCTCCCGCAATCAGACATCCGAGACCACGTCCCCCAACTCCTCCCATACATCCGCGCCGGCATGACCCACCTCGCGGCCGACGTCCGCGTCTCCTCCGTGGAAGTCCTCTCCTGGCTCGTCGAAATCGCAGGCACGGAAGTCGTCTCCAGCGCCGGCGGCTGGATCAAAACGCTCAATTGCTTCCTCTCCGTCCTGGGCTGGCACACCGAGGAATCAGCCAAGTGGTCAGCGAACCGCGCTTCGTTCGGAAAAGCAGGTACCAAGGGCCAGCCAATGATGAAGGTGCTGACTGTACTGGCCGAGTTCTTGCATGCGGGGATTGGCGCACCCGCCACAGAAGCGCAGGATGTGGATATGCTGGGTTCTGGGGGTGTGGCGGGGTGGGAGTTTCCCCTCTGTCAGACGGCGGTGCATATGGTTCCCGACACGGCGGCGCCATACGCTTATCTGAATTTGTTCGGACAGCCAAGGGACGAGGAGGGCGAGATGTATGAGACGTGGGAGGATCGGTACCGGGTCTTTGCAAATCGGTTTTTGCGGGCTATTCAGCGGGGCTTGGAGAACGCAAGGCAGGAGGGTGGTGAGATGGGGAGGGCCAGTTCTGGGGCGAGCAAGGTGTTGAAGGACGCTGTTGCTTATGGGACGGGAATCGCGGTGTGATTGGTCTGGTATTCGTTTATCTGATACTGCGCTCCTTTCATGATGACCCACGGTCATCTGAAGGGCTGTGATGTGCCATTTATCACGCCGAACAGGCCATCCCAGCAACCATAGTTGCTGTTCCACCGTCAATGCGTGAGACCATGTCTCCAAGTCCACGCAGCCTGCGCCTCGGCTGATAGCAGCGACGATGCTCAACAGGGACACGATATAGATTCCTCCCACTCCGGCACATGAGGAAGATGTATTCATTTCATTTGGAACCAAAAATAGAGCGAGCAGCATGTACAAATAATGAATATACCCATGAATAGAACACAAGAACGAAAGGAACTAAGACTCGATCTTCCTCATCTCGCCCTCCTGATCATCCGTACTCCCAACATCCCCTTCCCTAGCATCGTAAACATCCTCCGCCATAACCGCCACGTCGACCAAGGACTCCGTCGCCGGAAAGAACACAGACACCAGCACATACACAAGACTCGTGGCGACAAACCCCAACAACCACCCAAACTGATACGGACGCAGACCAACCCCGACCTCCACGCTCCCATTAACCGAATGAATCAGCCCCGGCAAACTAGGCACCACACCCACCACAAAGGCCAGCACCGCCCTCCAATTCACCCCCCAGTCCCCATACGCATACATGCTCTTCTCGCGCTGATACAGCGCCAAAGTATCATACTTCCTGCGCTTCACCACCCAGAAATCCACCAACATGATCCCCGCAATCGGGCCCAGGAAGATCGCATACGCAGACATGAAATTTAAAAAATTCCCCGCGGATGCCAGGATCTTCCACGGCACCAGACCCCACGACACCAGCCCGCAGATGATCTGGCCGCGTCGCAGATTCACGTACCCCGGCGCCAGCGCCGCCAGGTCGTTCGCCGCCGAGATGGAGTTCGCCGAGATGTTGACCCCCAGGGAGGCGAGCGCGAAGCTGAAGGCGCCGAAGAATCGGCATGCGCGGCTCGTCCAGTGGCTGATGAGGTCGATCGGGTCCCACGGGATGGGGCCGCCGTACCGTGCCTGCCCGGCGCTGCTCGCTGCGATTCCGATGAAGGAGAGGAAGGTGAAGATTATAGGGAGCATGGGGATGTACAGGAGTTGCCATTTTGCGCTGACGTGGGAGTAGCGCGAGAAGTCGGACTAGGGGGTTGTTTGGGTCAGTTTTGAGATTCTTTATACAAGGAGGTTCGGGTAGGGGAACAGGGAAGGGATCGATTGTGGTACCTACCTGGTTGACGCTGAGCGTGGCATAGTTCCCCAGTACGGAGGTCATGTTGGCGAGAAAGAGCCAGCTGTATTTCGACCCGGAGACGGTCGCCTTCTGATGGAGCAACCCGCCGCCACTCTCGGCGACAAACGCCCAGATCAAGATCGCGATCCAGGCAATCGGCACCAGCACGGACTTGACCATGAACAGCCAGCGGAGCTTATTAGGATGGAAGCACAGGAACGGGAATTGCACGAGCCAGAAGATGAGGTACGACACCATGCCGTTCGTCGTGATGCCCTCGCTCTCGGGGATGCCGTTCTCGAGCGTGAGGAAACTGGGCCAGATGGCGCCGATCATGGCGCGCACTGCGTTTGCCCCGTTGACGTTCTGGATCGCAAACCAGAACAGCGCCAGGATGACTCGCGACACGATCGCGATGTACGAGCCCCAGAAGCCCCAGCTGGCGCGGGCGATGACCGGGAATGGAATGTGGTAGATGGCGCCCACGGCGCCATTTCCGGCGATGACGAACGAGATGATCAGGAAGGAGATGGCGACGATGATGAGCGAGTCGCGCCAGCCGAGTCCCACGGCCATCATGCTGCTGGCGAATTGCCAGGTGGCCGCGTTGAAGGCGTCGGAGATCCAATATGCTGGGGAAATGTTAGTCCTAGGGGGTTTGGCAGGGTCGCTGAGACATACAGATGAAGCTCATGGGTCCCCATTTGCGGAGATGGCGGGGGACAGGGTCCAGGTCTAGGTTGGTCCATCGGGTATTTCCCTCTGCGAAGGCTGATCGGGACTGTTGGACGCGGAGATGAGGTCGGAGCTTCATTCCGGCGAGAAATGGCTGTCGATACGTATAGGGGTGTAAGTTAGAGGGAACAGTAGTGGAATTCCACACCTAGCCAGAAGATCAACAGTGAAAGATGCACGATGCAAGGGGGTGGGGTCAATTAGGGCTCGATGCAACCCCAGCTGGAAGCAGGAAGGAAATGCCAATAGTGCTATGGATGTGGGCAGAGATGTATGCAGGGGGCGTCAGCTGTACCCCGGAGACGCAAAGAGGGTAGCATAGGCTTGGAAGAAATAACAGGGAGGGATTCTGGGACATTAGTATGCAGGAGGAAAGGGGAGTGTGCCCGATAAGGAAATGAGGAGGTCATCGTGAGCTGATAAGTCTGCAGCAGCATCCCGGCTCCCTTCATGCCCGTCATTGGCCGCTATGGCCACGAGGAAAAAGTCTGATAAGCGTCTGTCGATAACCCTAATCCTGGTGATTAACTCGTAAACGTCTTGATACCGAGAGTATAATATTCTTGGCATGGTTGCTGACAGTTTATTCACCCGGAAATGGCTCAATTCCCGATATATCAAAACGGCATCTGCAATAGATAGCTGATCTCAGCATATCTCCCAGTGAAGGTCTATTCTCATGATATAGAGCTTCACTTCCTTTCGAGAGCCAGGAAGTGAAGGAAGACAGCCGTCAGATGACGAATTCTGTCACTGACTCTCTGAACGCAGCTTGCTAGATGGGTATATAAGCAGTCAACTACCCGCAACTGTTCGTCTCTTCCACACTCGAACTGCCTAACGATATGATTCAAGACTATTGGTTGCTGTACTCCTTACTTACGCAGGACAGGACTAAGTGATGGAGGTTACTTAATATCACTATGATTTTCCTTTTACCTGTGGTTTCAAGTACTACGTTTCATAAAGAGTTGGCCTTGATATCTAAACCAGCAAGGGCCATGGCACCGTTCAAGTACTCTACATCCAACGGAACTGGAATAATATCCAAGAACACTGCTTTTCGAAAAACGACAGCCCGGAACCCATATGCAGAACAGTGTAGGATTGAAACGGCATCTTAGCCGCAACCCCCTTAATTCATGCCCCATTGCCTGATGAACAAGAGGATATAGACGTGATATAGGAACATCGACTAGCCGATCTGTCCACGGCAAAGAGGCAGAACCGGTTCCTGACTAGGCCACAGACGTCACATCATTGCCTCCTTGAAGCCCTACAGAAGAAACCAGTAAGACTATGGTGCAGGAAAACAAATGAAGCGGCTTCAGGATTTTGCATCAGATCCGAAAAGGTCCTTGGGTGCTGTGACCCCGACTACTTGAGCATATTACCGCGATGTTTCGTACTTTGAGGCCGTGTTACTGGTGAGCCTATACTGTCGTCCATGAACTTACTAGATACTAACCGAGTCCTAAGGTAAAGTGGATGGCTTCTTACCAGGTCTCCTGGAGAAGGAGGATCTAGGGAGGTGTACGCTGGCCGTGTCTGTCCTCGCCTAATACTGCAAACGGATGAGGTCTCGCAAATCACGAACGACAAATCACCAAGTATGAATACTCAGCTTCCAGCACGATTACCGGTCTCAGATATGAACCATTTCTTCTAGGTTTATATCTCCTTTAGTGAACCACAAATCGCCCTGCTACAATGTCGTCCTACTGGCAAGAGTTTATCAACATTTTCCATAATCATTACCTCGACTAGCCAGGATCCCGCAATGATCTCTACGATCTTGACATTATGGAATTGGGCCCACTGGACAGGTTCGCAACCTCTGTCTGGCCGAGAGCGGCGGTTAATCCACGAGCCGGTTATTAGGTCTGTCTGCTGGGGCACAGCCACCACTCGCTGAGGAGCCTTCTACATGCCGCGACCAGAGCGAGTCTTTGCCGTTCGTTGGATGCATTTCTGGTGGACTGGGTCAGAAGTGCAATCAGGATATGAGGTAGACCAGCATATCACCTAGCTTCTTTTCAACATGTGTCAATCTATATTTGCACCTTGGAAGCAACCATAGACGAACCCTGCGGACTTTCAACGAGCGAGCTATGAGACAATCAAGCTCAGAAACTTCAATTTTTACCAAAGAAACGAAAGCAGTATTCTCATCAAGGCCCCCTCTTTGCATATCCAGTTCGAGGAATTGTGGCTTCGAGAACCGAATGCAGGCGAGAGCGACTATGTCTTTTCGCATGCCGTGTTGGAGGCAATGACCGATGACGTCTGGTTGCGCCAGGATATCTGGCTTGGTGACCGTAATGAGTAGCTACGGGAGATTCCTGACGAGGACGTCGAATACAACTGAAACAGCAGCTCTTTTTTTCTTCTTTCTGTTTCTGTCTGTTTGTGCAGTTCAACATGGCTTCAGAAGACCCACTGGGGTTTCCCTAATGACCCGAGGGCAGTACAAGTCGAGCTCTCATGCCTTCTTAAAGGACCATTATCAAGATACTGCTTGAAGGGCGCTGATATTGACGCCAAGAGTCAGCTTGACCAGATAACTTTCTACACCGAGCTAGAAAGCATAGCGTACGTGTTTTGAACTTTCTTTCTTGGCACCACTTGTCTATGCTATCGCGAGTGTATCCAAGCCGGGTGGTATCAGGTACGTAGTTGGCTTTAACATTCTTGGTTCAGCTGCTCGCTGTTGAGCTCCCCTGTGAGGATGATATCCCCAAGGTGCCAACCGACAGTGAGGCTATCTTACGCCACTTAAAGCAACGTAAGTGTCTCCTGTTAGACTACACCTGGTCATCCACTTTCCATCTTGACATCACGGCTAAGAAGGCTGACGTTGGGCCTGTCGAAGCGCAGTACCAAGACGAATTCTACAGGGTGTTTAATATGGCCGCAGGATGCGGGGCACCTAATTCGCCAAGAGTATTCAGAACAAAGCAAGGCAGGTTGGATTTCTGGATACCTGGAAACACAAACGGGCACTATCTACAAATATGCCCACATTTCACTGTGGCAGTTACATATACCCTGCAATCCATGCCTTCATTACCCTCATGACCGCTGAAATGGCAATATACAGCAGACACATCCGGTCAGCTCATGTACCTTCTGGAGATACCAAACCCGGAGACCACCCACTTCCCAGCAAAGAACTGCTCATGATGCAGTTGAACATAACGTGTGTTGCGAGCCCCATGTTCGAACATGATTTCCCCCCCGCAAGGATCAGGCATGGTGAGGGGAATAATCGTGAAGGTCCCAATGCACAGGAAAGATTCGAAATGGAAATTGCTTCAATATTATACCAGAGCTTGACTGCCCGACGGTTAAAGATGAATGCCCCAAACCCCAGAAATATGGCAAATGAGAATCGGTTAAAAAAAAGTGAAAAATACTACGGAGAATATGATCTACGTGCTAGCCAGAAGGATGCCTCTGATCCACCCGGCATGGTACATAGGCTCGTCTGCCAGGGGAGTCGTTTGATTAATCCCATTCGCGGGCTTCATGATGTGGTTTAAAATATGTTTTCTAAAAGCCAAACATCGGTATGTATAGTCTATATTACGTTTTGTTCAATACTGAAGAAGGCTAATAATATCTCCTATTACATAGATATCCCAAGATAGGGTTATTTACCTTTTAACCCACCTCCTGCGTAAAATGGCCCCAAATTCTGAGTGGATCTTTGGAGCCTATATCTCAGGGACAGCAATCTTCTGATACCACCGTCCTTTTGCATGTTATGAGCAGGGTTGTTTAACAATAGCTTCTGTCTGGCCGTCGTACAAGATAAGGGACGGGGTTCCAGAAATGCTACTTGTACCCTGCTGAAGAGACTATTCGCACGGGTAAGGAGGGCTTTCTCAAGGATATCTACTGGTCTCCATCGGTAGTCGAAAGCGATGGAGGTATCGCAATTATAGGCAAGAAATAGGAGATGACAGAAGGGGAAAGTCTCGGATAGGGATTAAGTGGAATAGAGGACAAGACCACTGTTTTGCAAGTCAATTTGAATTATCTAGGATTCTCGTCGTCTGGAGATAATGTTAACAAATGAAACATCTCATCCATGCTTTAAGTATCTAAGCTTCAAGGTTGGACCATTCGCCCCTAGTCTTCTGGCCAAGTGATAAATGCCAATATGTACGACACCAAATCTAGAATACAAAAGCAGACAGGTCACACTCTCACATTGATACTCACTACACCCAAAACCAAATCATATTATATAAAAAGTCAGCTCATCAAACCATCAGCGTGTCAGCTTCAAGAGAAAAGCTACGCCAATCATCCCACCAAGCATCTCCCGATCCCATCCCAACCCCCGGCCAAACACTTCTGAAAACCTCCTTCCATGGTTCCAGAAAATTTGACCCAAATAGAGTCTTCGTATAAGGACACGAAGCCACCTGCGTAGCCATCACCTCACCACGACGATCATCGCGTGAATTCCGCTCGACCAGCCACGCGCAAGGGAAAATATGGACCAATTGACTGAACAGAGTATGCGTTTCAAACGCGCTACATTGCAGCCGAATGATCATTCTTTCGAGAAGTGATGAGCCTACGGCCTTGTTTCCGGATATGATTCTGAAGATCGAGCACGCTAGGTTCGAGTCTACGGCGCTGTTTCTGAATAGTCGTTGGATGTGGCCGTTGCGGCTTCGGTAGCAGCCCCCTAGGTCCTTGACGGAGAACTTATTGCCGAACTTGTCGAATGACGGCTCGCTAGGCGGTTTGGTGGGTGTGTTGGGGATTGGATTGCGACCCCGGCGGAACTCTTGTTCGGTATCTGTTGCCCTTGCCATGTTATCTTGGCTTGTACCGAGGGTTGCATCGGAAATGTCAAGGTGTAAGTTCAGGTATTTGAGACGTGGTATGGTTCCTATGGCCTTGTAAAGGGCGACTTCGGTCGCGTCGCCCTGAGAGCGCGGGATCGTGAGATCCAGGCTTTCCAGGAGGGGACAATGTTCTCCGAGCTGGAGGATGTCGCGTTCGGTTAAACACTGCCAGGCCTGGGGTCCTGCGAGGTCCAGCCTGCGCAGGCAACAGCCATGGTGACGAGCAAGTGGGTTCAAAGACACCAGCGAGTGCCAACCCTCGAAGTAGAGCTCCTTCAGTGGAGGGAGACTCTTTATGAAATGGGTTGCCGCCTCGTAGAACTCGGTGGTAGGAGCGTCCTCCTCGAGAAAAGCATGGGCCTTGAGCTGTAGATAGAGGACTTTTAGCTTCGGGAACTTGAGCTGCTGGGACCAGATCATTAGTGCCTTCGGCTTGGCCAGGGAGCAGAGCTCAAGGGTTTCTAGCTCGGAGAATCTCGTGTGCTTTCCCCATTCAAGGAGCGTCCTGGCTGTCAAAGGGACCTGGTCAATGATTCTCAGGAGTTTCAACGATGCAGGAGGTATGGAGATATCGTCCTCGTCCGTCTTGGGCTTTTGCAAAGGAATAGGTAAAGGGGCATATGCGAAGTTCTGCGGGGCTTCGCGACGGGTGATTTGTAGTTCTTTCAAATTCGGGGCCGACTTGACCAGACGTTGGATAGTCTTCATTCGGTAGCAAGGGCTGTTGTCATAGCTACGCACACCTCTTTCATTGTACTGCAGCATGATACTATGCAAGGCTGGCGAGAATACCAACTTGTGTTCTTGGGAGTCTTCCGTGAGGGTATCCATGCTGTTCAAGGAGAATGTGTGGAGATGTAGTCTCGATCGGGGCGCGCAGTCATGCAGAGCATCAAGAAGACAGACAGGAAACTGACCGCCGCACCTGAAAAACAGATCTGTCAGCGCAGGCAGATTTCTAATCAACTCTGCCACGGGCATCCATGCATGGTTTCGTCTGTCGGTTAGCCTAACATCTGCATCGCGAGTGTTGGGGCACCATGGTGTCTCCTGCAGGCCTGCAGCACATGTAGACTCGTATGGCTCATCCAGATCCGTGCGTCTCAGGTCACTAAGCTTCGGCGGACGCCAGTCAACACGCGCCTTGCAAGGAGCATCTGCCTCGCACGTGGAAAGGCTTTCTTCAATGATAAGCCGACGGGCATAGTGGAAGCTCTTTGCCTTGTCCAGCCCTTTCACGATCTCCTGGGTCGATTTCGTCAGTGCGTAATGTCTGCATACCTTGATTGCTATATCGCGGTAGATTATAGACCGGGCTGCTATACTAGCGTGAGTGTAGAATAATCTGCTCACTAATTTAAGATCATGGAGACTCGTGGGTTCGTCATTGGCTATAAGGGTAAATATGAATCTGATAAGCTCAGAGGGCAAGCGCCGGAAGGGTGGAAAATCCTCCAGATCCATTTTGGTAGTTTTCTGAAAGCATTTTGTGTGACAGTTCGAGTCCATGCTAAGTATATAACTAGAATAGTTTTGTCAAATCCCCCTTGGAGAAGGGGGAGATCCTGATCGAGACGCATATCTCCGGTCTGGCAAGAGAAGAAAGGGTTCTTCAAACGAATTTAGCTACACTCAATGGATCTTGCTTTCCAAGTCAGAACGAAGGCAAGGGCGATGTTGGTTTCCTTATGTATGATTGTTTCAGACAGACATAGTCTGACCGTGTGGATATCCACTGTGACAGTGAATGGGATTGTTTTCGCTGCTTTATTGACCCATTGTCTGACAGACAATTCTTGGTACATGCCGACCTATTCAGCAGGATCTCCCATCGATGTGCGATTTATCTTATATAATGACAGGCCGACTGATCAGGATGGGTCTTGACGGTGTTATTCTGCTGACTACTGCCATATCATACCGTGTGTGTGTGCTAAAGATAACTTTGTATGGGAACCAGTACATGGCTATTTCTCAGAGAAATGATTCATCCGAAGTCTACCGAAGAATGAATTGTCTAAACAATAAGACAAAGAGTTACATGGAACAAAGGATGCCAGTCATTTTGACACATGACAAATCTCCTCGAACCTCGAAATCAATCGGCGCCTAAGAATCTCAGATATGATGTGCCCTAGTCTAGACATCTTCTCTAGCAGCAGCGTAAACACATCAAACGGATATCTCCAGTGTCTAAAGAGCCTGAACCGCTTCTCGACGCGTCCTGTGAATTGATCCGTGGCTATCCGTACATCTGGATCCTGGGAATTTCCATACATACTCTTTCATGAGCTCTGCAAGCGATCTGCTGTCTTCCATGACCACGCAGGATTGGGACGGTTGGACTTCGAGATATAATACAACCGCCAGGTCACCAAAGGTGCCGGGAGAGTGAGCAAGGTATATGCTGTGTACAGAGTGGACGGACCGACGGCATGATCAACCGGGAATACTCAGAGTTGGTCTGGAGAATCAAGAGACCAGGAGGGTCCAAGTTAATAGTAAAAGTATTGAACGGCTACATACTCACGTAGAGAATCGCTTTTGGGCCTCGGGAGTCTGTGAATGACCACCAGACCTTCCAAGATCTCCTGGTTGCGGTATTTGTTCGCGGAATCACTTATTCCAACGTCGATTGATGTCTCTACTAGAGCATTCAACTGTCACACTTGAAAGAACCTTGTCTGGTCTCAAAGTCTCATATCCTTCCCGGAAGCCAGGTAGAAGATGCCCTTGTGGTCGTCAGAGTGCTGAAGCTGTTGAGAAGACCGTGGTAGAGCTGAATCCCTACTTCAGAGTAAATATACCAAATCCTACTTTATAAATTATATAAATCAAGATATTTTTTCAATCTTAATATCACTGTTGTAATAAACCTTAAAAAAAGATACTATTATCTAGTAGAAATACATATCAGTATACAAATACAACGCAGCCGCTCCATCACAATATTTATAGAGAGAGAGAGACAGAAGAGAGAAATGCATTATACCCGAATACAGCCCCCATTCAGGGGCTCTTCTCGGGTTGTCAACGGCCGTTTAGTAGTACGTACTAAGCAGCTCTCATTGACAGTTATATTATAAATAGACTTCTAGATAAATAAACTTCCAGCGTATATTAAAAAGAGGTATTTACTGATTTCTAGAAAACGTACATTATAAGATTAGTATTTAAAAAATCTAGAATAAAATTAAATAGCAGCGGTATCTATACTATAGAGTAGAGACTATTCTATACTATATAGATATTTAAAACCAAAGATTTCAGGGACCCTATCCCGCAGCTATAGATCACGTTAATACTATTCTAGGAAACTGGCCAAATCTCCTACATACCTCTCACTAATACTCCAGTTAAAAAAATATACTGACGCGTTAACGCGTTCCCTAGAATAAAAATAATATAGCGATAGATCATAGAGGCGATTTCACCTCATCTCTTTGAGCGAAGGATCAAGCGTAGGGATAAGAGGAAATCGGACGATTTGAGCGATTTGATCGCAGTTCACTATAGATATCTCCACTTGTCCACAGAAGTATCATAATACAGCAACAAAAAGACCGACTAATCCTGGGCCGACCTCTATCTCTTCGGTCATGTAGAGTGTCGAGCCAGGTATTAGTTCTACTCCTGATGCAGTGGGACAACCGGTTGTGTGTATAGGAACCACAAAGGCTGGACCTTTTGTATTATAGAATCGCGCCGGGCTGGGTCCTGTCCGTAGTACTGTGTAACCCCATCGATGTTTGATCTTCTGATCAATTTCCAGTAAATCTAGGAGAGGTCGACAGGCTTGGACAAGGCCTTTATCCACACACACACTTCTCCAGGTTTTCGCCCTCCTTTTCAAAATTGGCCGTTTGATTAAGCCACATGGCTAGTCCAGATAATATTTTGTCAACTGTAGAATTGGTAATCTTCTCGGATTCGAGACGAGACCTGCTAGGTATATTCTCCATGATCTTGTGTATAGCTGTCGACGCTTATTTATGAAGTCTTTGATGAGAAAATATAAAATCCAAGTGTAACTCAGTTTCATGATGTGACGGTGAGAAGGTGGCCGAAAAGGGCTACTTCTACGGCCGTTTTAAGCGTCGCTCTATCCACGACCCGTCTTAGCATTCTCTGTGCGTATTACCACGGCCAGAAGCATTACCACCACGCGAAGCCACAAAAGCCCATAGTTTCAAATGCGCTTTTTGTTGCTCTTTGATCAAAGAGATCAATCACCCAGCGAAATGCCTTTAATATGGCCGCCTGGAGGAGAGTCAAAGATGGCTCCCCTCAACCTTCATGTTCTTTCATCCTCTTTCTTCGTATTCTTTACAGTTCTGAATTTCATCGTGTCTGCTGCACGCTGTCTTGCCCGTATCTTTTCTCCCCTAATATCTCGTGCAACATCTCCCTTAGGAGTTTCTGCTCAAGCACAAAACCGCTCCTATCCTCACTTAACTCTTATTCTTTGTGACTTTTCCTTTTCATTTCCTTCCTGGCTTCCCTTGCGCACTGTTGATTATGGCGCCTCGATCCCGTCTGCAAGGGTCTGACAACACAGAGTATCAGAGTGATGCCAGTTCCGACCTGAGCGCAATATTTTCGGGCAATGAATCTGAGAGCGACTCCAGCAGCGGCCCAGAGTCCGATAGCGAGGACGGTTCCGATGATGAAAAAGATGAGGATACCTTCGACGACGAGGGCCAGCTGCCTCCGGAACACTATTTGGCCCAGGCTGAGAGCCTGGATGTCACTCAGCTTAGACAGAATCGGTACAGCCAGAACACTCAAGAAAGGCTTGATGAAACTCGCATGTACTGGAATAGGTAGATAATCTCCGTGACTCTCATGCTGTGTTCAAGCTCATTGACATCTTCCCGGCAGGTACTGCCAACATATTGGAGTTGATCCAGCGCAGCACTGGAAATGGATCTCAAACTCTGATGAGACGATTCAATTTCTGTACGCATTCTTCGGTTGGCGGTGTGATATTCGTCGTGGCAAGGGTGGTCGCCACTGCCCAGGGATTACCTATCAGAGCTCGCTGAATTCATTCTGGAAGTGGTGGCATCTTCTTCTGAAGCAGGAGACAGCATCTGGACTCAGCAAAGACATAACTGTCAAGGTGAACGATGTAAGTACCCATTTCAATTTCTGTCCGTGTTAAACAAGGTACAGATACTGATCAAGAACAGGTCATCGCCCTGGTCGCGAAAGAGAAAGACCTCGAACTCAATTGGAAGCCGAAGAAGAACATGTATATTGAGGATGTAGCCGAATTTGCACGCGTCCTCTTGACCACCACTGAGATGACATTCGACTGCGGTTGGCAGCGTATCCAACTCCTTCTCTTCTGCCAGCTTGCAGCCATTACTGCAAGCCGTCCGTCGGCGCTCCTCCACCTTCGCTATACGGACATATCATTGACTCTGATCCGAGATCCGGAAGGCGGACGTCCTCGACTGTTCATCTTCTTGAAGCCTGACTTTACAAAGAGGTTCCTTGGAAAGAAGGCTGCGTAGGTGTTTTTGATTTTTGCAGCTCCCTAAGGCGCCGTGTCCTAACAGAGGAGGATAGAAATGAATTTAAGGTTCCCGAAATTATCTTCGATCCAACGTTGGTCCTCAGTCCACATGTTTGCCTGCTGGGTATGCTCTTTCACGTCCAGGGCTTCAAGAAGTTTTCTACGGCCGGACCCGTGCTGGATTGCCCAGAAAAACTTTACAGCCTTGGGGTACTGGACGGCAAGGGACAGCAGGAGTTAAAACTCAAGGATGAAATACTGGATAAATTTGTATTCTGCCAGGTAGAGCGGCAACCCACAGGATATCGAATTGCCTTGGAGAGGCCACTGACAGCAGCTACGGTGCGGTCCCGCATGCGCCGGGGTGGTGAGATTACGGGGTTTGACCAGATTACCCGGCCATACCTTCTCCGATATGCTGGGGCCAAAGCATTTAACACCAGCGGTGAGTATGTTTCCAACCCACAGAGAGTTGGGTACTAACCATTGGGTAGAAGAAGTTACGGATGCTCTGCAAAATGTAATCCTACAGCACTCCGATATCCGCACATTCATCCGACATTACGAGGTGGATGTTGATGTCGATGTCCAAGGGATCATCCGTAAAACAGGTTCACAGTCATCGCTAGTGCGGTTTGCTTGCTCTTTGAGTGCATCAATTGACCCAAATCGACCCTATAAACTCTCTCCCGAGGAGTCCATGTCCCTCAATGAGCTCCCTGTGGTCCGTGAACGGCAGGACACAGTAACAAAACGCAAGCAGAAGTGGGATGACCGCAAAGTGACGTTGGATCGTGCCACTGCGGCATATCAATCATCCCATGGCCATGATGTTGAAGGGGCCGTTCCCCAGAATCACCATCATCTAAAAGCCAAGCTGGATCATCTCCATGATCGAGCGATGGAAGCAAAGCGGAAGTATAACAAAGCTGTGCGGGAACTGCGGAATGAGAAACAGCGACAGCGGAACCGACGCATCCGAGAGAATCTGGAGCGATACAGGAACGAGCAACCTGTGATTGACCTTGAACGGCAACTTGCAGGGAAGCTCGTCGACACCAAGGTGATGGACACTCTAGAGCACACGGGCTTCATGCCTCCACAGCATCTGAAGGTGATCGATGCTGTACTGACCATACCCGGTGCTACACTTGAAGCAGAATATCAGCGCCGGATCAACGCAATTAATGCGATGACTGCCTTCTGCCCGGTGGGAGAGGGGCGGCCTATACCTCGAACTCAACCTTGCCGCCGACCCCTACCCGATGCTAACGATTATTGTGCTCCTACCAAACGGCAACAGCACGTGATAGAAGACGAGACCGAGATAGCTCTACGACAAGCAATGGAATCTGTTCGAATCAGAACCCCAGGACAGCGACCCCGAATTTGCTTTCTCTGTGTGGGGAATCCCAATCTCGCGCTCATAGACCGGATCAAGGAATACGCAACAGCTGGTTCACTGACAAAACATTTTCTACGAAAACATGTCAACACTCCCTGGCCAGCCAACGGGGTTGAGTGTAATATTTGTGGGATGGAGCTGCTGGAGCAGAAAGCTACACTTTTAAATCACGCAGAGACATGCCACGGAACGGTTGTGCGAGGGTCCACCCAAGGGAAGCTTGCACGAGAATGTCAACAAGCTATATACATGCCGTAGGAACAGATTGTCATCCAAGCAACCCTCAACGATGTTTGACGATTCCCTGATTTTATTGTATAATACAAGCTGTTTTTGTCCGTCACGATGTATTTAAATAGAAACATTTAACCTTAAGTCATAGCAAGAGAAAAGAAGCCTAATGTTGATCAACAGAATACAGTTCTACTGTACTAGAATCTCTTGAAATCTCCTCTAGCACGGTCTTTTCCGTCCAAGTATTGCACGCCGATTACGGAAGGACTTCAGTTGATAGGCAACTGCGAGGCTCTTCGGGGAAAGTGTCCTTCCTCAGCAATTCTTCTCGTAATTCTCCACAATTATCGCATTTCAAAGAACTGCTACCATTAGCCTTTGCTAATGGCTAATTTCTACTGTGCTGGATTCATCTTCCACTTCGCATATCTCCCTTTGGCGTCGTGGAAGCGTGTCTGTTGCCGACTGGTTATAGTTAGCTGGGCGACGTCACCCTCTATTCATAGATTCCCACGCTCTAGTGCAATCAGAGGCATGTCAGAGGAATTTTCTGTTTGTCTTATAGAAGTCGTAGTATGATCTGACACGTGGAATAGCCTCCCTATCGACAACACTACGACACGGCATCATTGATGCCCTTCATCATTCAATATAGTGACAAATACTTGTTTTAGGAATACCTTTGTCTACCTGCGATGGCAGCATGCTTTCGAACAGTTGTACATAAAGATAATCACGCCAAGGATGAGATTTACTCCTGCGCAACGACAGGTGCAACGACATTCTGCCATAATCTTCGTTTATTTGCATCCAAGCTCTCTCTCCACTCTTTCTCGACCTCAGCGAATGCATCCCACCACACCTTATGTGTTGAGTCGACCAGGTCATCGGCGTAAGTCCTGCTCTGCCAAGGCTTGTTGAGGATGTAATGCAGAATCTTGACGTCTTCATCTCTCCACAGGTCGCTGTGACATAGCCTCAAAGTCTTCAGTGCATTGTAGGTGTACGGTAGGGGCATCCACTTGTTTCGGTATACAATGGCTAGGAGGTCCTGGTCAAAGAAAAGCATATTTGGAACATCCGGATGTGTGTTCATAGCATTTATGAGCGCATCATACTCCTTGAGGGACGGGCGCAGAATTACCGTTCCGCTATTCAACAAGTGGTGATTCTGCGGGCTTCTCTCGGTAATTGGATTGGGCCTGCCAGTCGCTTTGTCCGCGGCGGTGAAACCGCAGTTCTCTGGTATCCTAGAACAGCGCGTAGTGTTAAGGAGGGAAGTTCTTATATGTTTTGATCATGGCAAAGCTCACCAGTCTTTACTGTAATGTGCCAACTTGCGAGGGTTGCATGTACAAGCATGACTAGCTGCAATGAAGCCTTCGGGGAGGTCCATATCCATCATATCGTCGATATTTTTCAGGATGACCTGGTCGCTATCAAGGAGGATAACTCTCTGTGCATCTGAATAAGATATTTTGATTTGCAAGGTCACGCAGCTACTGTGGCCTCGAAATTGGTTAACGCACCTCATAATCCGTGAATCGCCACGGAGCAAGTTTCTCCCAGGTACCCTTGTTGATTATGCCATCCCTTGGCGCCGGTTCGATGTTTTCAACAACAATCGTGGGAATTCCGGCTGCCTCAAATGCCTGCATATATTCCGTGTCTTCTTTGACGGCAGGGGTAATCATTACCTTGAGCTGATACCTAGATCGTGTTTTGCGCAGGGTATGATTAAGCACGAGCAACCCACCAAAGTATGCTCGATTCGTAAGGAGCGTCGTCCAGATCTTTGTGCCATCATATTGTTCTGAAGTCGGCATATTATTTGAGGTTCCGTCGCGTGAATACGAAGTATCAAAACGTGCGGTACAAAACTGCTAGAAGAGGTAAATAGAATTAAGTCTTTTCTTATTTTTTTTCCCTTCCTAAATGAAATGCTGATCGGTGAAGCGATAGCAATGAAATAGTTTCTGAGCAATGAGTTTTCTAAATAAGCTTCTCATTTCTAACATGGGTTAATAAGAAAGTGACCTGAAGCGCAGAAAAATTTCCAGACACCTTTCCAATTCAGGTTCGGGCAAAAATGGCGCCATCCCGTGATAGATAGAGCAATGGTTTCCGCTGAGGGGTTGCTGACTCATACAGTAGGGTACCTTGCAGCATCAAAAGTTGATGGGAGCTCGGCGTTTTGAGTTGCCCGAGCCGTGTTTGCAACTCGCTGGTTTCTAAAAAAGCGATCAGCTCAGGCAACTTGAAATGTGCCGTACCAACAGAGTTGTGAAGCTTGATCGTTTACTCGACCGGCCCTCGATCCATAACAATTCTAGGCAAATAATTACGAGTTTCACATCATGATGAAATTGAAACACCTGCCGGATCTGGAGCTGTGTCTAGGGAAAGCCTCTGTAACATCATCACAATATTTGTATGACCTTCCAAGACTGCAATTTCTAGAGGTGTCTGTCCTCGTACATTTAAGGAACCAATATCAATGTCCCGACGGGCAAGCAATAATTGCACAATAGTCTCTCGGCCATTTCTTGCAGCCTTTGCCAACGGTCCTTCTTTTCCATAGTCGCCGACATTAATATCCACTTCCGGAAGCGCGACTAGCAAGGTAACTATTGCTTCATGGCCTTGTTCGGCTGCAATTGATAAAGGGGTGCGTCCCCATAGATCTCTGAAGTTCAACTGCGAACTCAGATGGTGGGTGTTTTGTTCCGGTGCTGTGAGGTTTTGTTGCATTCGGAGTAGCAGTAAATTTACAGCCGTTGGATTCCCGCTCTCTGCTGCCAATGAAAGGGGGTCTTGATGCTCAATCCCGCGCCAATAAATATCAATATCATTCCTACACAACAAAACTTCAATCGTTGAGGCATGTCCATTTCCAGCCGCGTAACAAAGAGGTGTCCAGCGCCGAGCGTCGAGGATATTGACATCTACATCGGGTTGATTCAATAGGATCTTCACGATGTTTTTATGGCCATTAAGCGATGCGACATGCAGAGCAACTCGCCCCCAAACATCCCTTGCATATAAATCGGCTTTCTTTGCCATCATCATCGCTACCCGCTCTTGACCATATTCTGCTGCAAGTGAAAAGGCAGTTTGACCTTGTTTATCTTTTTTGTCGATGTCTACCCCAGACCAGTGCATGAGCAGATCCACTACTGCTTCTCGGCCGTTCAGAGATGCCATATGCAGCAAGGTCCTACTCATAGAATCCGTAACACTTGCGTCGACATCATTTCGATTCAGTAGTGCCTGGACGACTGGAAGATGCCCATTGGTGACTGCAAGTGACAATGGGGTTTGGCCATCCTTATTTCTCGAGTCAGGCAGAGCACTTTTGCATTTTAAGACTTGCAGTAAGAGCTCGTGTTCTCCGTCGGCTGCTAGTATGTGGACTATACAGTTCCGAGATTCGTCGTTAATCGAAAAATGCACAGATGCAAGTGCCTTTGCAGCATGTGGAAGAGCTCTAAGAAACGAGCTTAGAGTATGTAGATCCAAGCTCTCGGCAATAAGCAGGATTATTTCGAGCGGCAGAATATTGCATCTAGCCATCCCTGGGTTAGCTGAAAGAATGCTCATCTTGAATAGGGGGAAGAACCAAATTTGCGATGGATTGACGAAACCAGAAAGGATGCACTAGGTCTTGTGTCACATGAATGTGCTTAGCCTTGATGTGACAGTCTAAATCTCTTGGCAACTAGAGTATATGTAATAAGCGTCTCCGAGTCCCTGCCCGCGAAAATCTAGCACATGATAGGTCGCGCCTTAACCCACCTTGATCAGTCGAGTTGACATGTCCCACGAAAGTCCAAATGATTAATGAGTACTGTGGAGGACTCGATTTCGTTGTTTAACTGTATTTTATATTGATTTCACTTATCACATCATTCGGTTTTTCCCTTCCCGCTCAGTTACCTTGGACTAATGAGGACCGGATCCACACCCTTCAAACCGTGCTGCTAGCGGCTATGTTGTCCAATCATCCATTGCCACGTTGAATGCTAGGGCTTTATCCCCGCGACTAATTATTTCCAATTCATTAAATAATTGGTGTGATAGGTTTTCCTTTTTAGTCCGCATGCAGCGCTACATTGGGCATGGTAAATAAAGAACAAATCAACATGTGTGCTGAAATGGTGGCATGATCTTGATGATGATACACAGGAGCTAAAGCGCTAATATACCGGAAATGATCTAGGTAGATCTCTTAGCTTAGTCCGCTTAAAGCAAACCAACAAATATAGACAGCGCAACCTTAGCGTCAACTACACTGCGAGCTCTTCCGCCGGGCCTTCCGAGGATAGAATACAATGAGCAAGAGCTTGTACAGCTCGCTATCAACTTGCAACTGTAGTTGATCATTATCTGTAGTCGCTCAAGGCCCCGGACAACACGAGACTCCTTATGTTGGCGCCATGCCTATTTCAGCGTTGATACACATTCGACGGGTGTCTTACGTATTACATGTGAATGGTTCGGACATTGCGAAACTCTTCCCTAGGGCCTCCGTCTAAACGCTTAGTATCTGTGCCATGGATAGATCAACGTGTGAAATTTTCATACCGACGCCAATCAGAAAACGAAAAATTTCTAACTAATGGAAGGCTGTCAGCAGGAACGCTTCCTCCCCCGAAAAAAATGACACCCATTGGGAGCCTGGTCTCTTACCCGCGTCTGTGTGCGTTAGTATAGTGGGTAATGTTGTTCATCGATTAATCGCACAAGTAATGGAGGGCAACTTGCGCCGGCTTAGGTGTTAGCGCGCGCGAACAGAGGGGTCAGTTCGCTGTCTTCTGCTTTGTATGCGTGATATTTATTGAACTTGCAGCCGGACTTACAGGTGAAACGATATTTTTCCCTTTCTGCTCGACCCCAGAGACGCATATGGAACCAGAAGTTGAGATACGAACCAAAACCACAAATTTCAAAAGACCTAAATATCTCTCAAAGTTATCACATATCTGATTTGAGATCTTCCAGCCCTGGATCGGTGATTTACCAGGCTTCAAACAAATCAAAAATCATCAAATCATCGGACTCCGATCTAGATCATAACCACCTCGCCGATAACGACTATTTTATCTTTTGAGAGTTAGCTAGCCAACATTGTCTCTAAATGGATGTTTCATCAACCGTTGCTACGTGGCTGTCATTGGCTGCAACAGTGGTGGGATTAGGTTCTATCGTTACGCAATTTGGCACCATCATCGACCAAGCGGACCCCTTCCATTCATTACGAGACATCCGACATCTAGGCAAATGGAGCCAGCGGCAGATATATGTACCGTGGTATCGTGTCATTAAGCCACCACCTGTTGGGCCTTTCATCACTGCAAACCTCTGTCAGGGTTTCTGTGGCCGAATGACAGTAGCTGTCAGTCGCTTACCTCTTGCTCAGCCCACCGGGCAGGCTGCATGGTCAGTACTGCTTGCAGTTCTTCATCCAACTGCTTCAAGCAGTGTACACGACGCGCGGAAGAAGCCAAAAATACTTGCAGAGAGCTCTAATGTCAAGCCAGAGTATATTGTGACCGTTAACCCTGAATCACACGTGGTTGATCTAAATGATGGATGGGCCGATCTTCCCCTCCATCCACTTATCAAGCATAAATTGACCACTTGTACGATTATTTCCCGCACCACCCTGATAACATTATTTTGCATCACGAATGCTCGGCCAATATTTCGACACAGCGGAGCTTCCGGTCATCGGGCCGCGTATGCAGCTTACTGTGGACAATGGCGGGTCGAATGGCCTATTGGGGACTTAGCACGTGTGTATTTTACTGCACATGACTCACACAGCATAGCAAATGATGTTTATCCAGCAATGTTTCACAGAAGAATCGACAAATGCCTGCAAATGCTCGCCGGGGTGATTGATGCGCAAACATCTACTACGTTTAAATGTGCCTTCCCCGGGCGCAAGTCATCGGGCCAATGGGTCTTAAAATATGCTGTCAAAGGCTTTGGCGGTGCACATAGCGGTAGGCACTTATACAATATGGTAGGTGGCAACGTCAATGACGTCGACTTCTTGCTCATGAAAGCGATAAACCCGGAAGCAGAGGTATTGGAAGACATGCCCATCCTACGCTTGCCTAGCAAAGATGGTGCTGATCTCGACGTGTCTTTGTATGTTCCTGAAAAAGAAGCAGCTATTCTCAATAGAGCCTTGGATTGTCTACCATGGTCATCTCTCTCTTGGTCAATCCATCGAGGGCTCCGTGATATACTTGTTGCGTTTGCAAAAGACAGGCTGGATCAGTGGCGGGATCACCTAGCAGAGACACTTCGCTATGCTGTGGCAAAATGGCCGGAGAGGTTGGATGCTAAAGGTTGGAACCCTCAATTCGTCAGGGACAATATGGCAGATATGGCTGCAAGTGCTGTTCTAGCTGGAGGCGGGAATTCGGGTGACGTAGTCAGAATTGTGACTGACATAGCACTCACTATATGGGATGGTGAAGTCTCGGCGCTGGATGAAACAACTTTTTGGAGATCGTCGCTTCCCCAGCCAAGCCCTTCCTATCTCAGTCCGTCGATTGTCATTGCTCTCGTCAAGTGCTTCGTTTTGGAGTGGAGCAACGACTTTGATTACCAGATATATCACGATTTTCCGTTAGAGATGTATTTAGGTTGACGCGATTCCGCGAGGCATCTTATTTCTCTATAGGATACGCAGAAGGCTAGCCATTTTTAAGGCAGCTATATGAGAGCTCAATAGTGGATTCTTCTATAACAGGTCGCTTTATGTCTAGTGTAAAGCTCGAATCTCCTCCCAGCCGCTTAGATTTTACTGTGCATAATATTCTATGGGTATGGGTCTGCCAAGATGCGTCTCCCAATTGCTGCCTGTCGAAGATGTCCGCGATATCGCGTTCAGATAGTCCCAAATATTGTTCGTTGTAAATAAAGTATGATTATTGATGTTTAAGCAGAGATAAAGGTTTCTAGATATGTCAGATTAATTGATTTGGAATCTAAGCACTGTTTACCCGGGTGAGTGCCAATTTACAACGATGAAGATGAAATAGCCATGTAAAATGCGCTCTCAGCATAGGGACGGCCGACAGGCGCTTGAACGCTTGACAATCTTTGGATCGATGGTCGGGTCTCCTTCCATTGCAAGATTCTTGCATTGACTTTCAATAGACTTACTGAGGTGTGAGGGGGGAGAGGTCTTACCACATCGATTTTTCAACGTTCGATCATAGAACTGAGATTGTGTGGATCTGACAAGCACACTGGTGTAACTCTAAGATACTGATCGAACAGATTCAATTTGTTTGTGTCGCCTGGGCCGCCACTCTCAAAGGGAGAGAGAGTGACTGCTAGATGACGGTATTCATATCGATCTATGTTATTTGGCATTTTGCACCTGAATGTTGCCGAACCTGCTCCTCAGTAAAGCGTAAAAGTCTGGATCTAGATCCTCTTGTCTATTGCGTCCGTCCCTTTCATCAATTAGTTGTCCCCGTCGGACTTTCCATTCGAGAACGAGACGCTCGATTCCACCTGAGACAAGGTAATTGGCATCAAAGACGCTACTGGCTGCCAATCCTCGAAACATCCAGCTATTTCTAGTTAGAGGCCAGACTCGGTCGATAAACTCTTCTTGTGAAAAATCTGCGATTGACTCGAAACAGCGGATATGGTACAAATCTAAGCAATGGATCATTCAGCTTAATAGTTATCGTGGAATATCTAATGGACTTACCCACGGCGGACCATTTGTTCTGTCCCATCCCTGGGCTCACCGCGAAATGGAAATGGCCAGGCTGAATCCTTGAACCACAAATCGATAATTTGCATTTCGCCCCATTATGGGAGTACGGAGCAACCTCAACGAAGAAGAGCCGCAGATCTTCAGGTGGCTCAGGGCAAGGATCGCCAGGTTCTGGACCTAACCCAATATGTTTCCGAAGATTTCTCCTCGCTCTTGCCAGAATTTTTGTCAGAGTCAGAAGTGGGTATGTTTGAAGAAGATCGACCGGTGAGCTGGGGTGCGGACGACGTCATTACGAATTTTAGATAGCCCGTTGGAAAGGAAGGAACTTTTTGAAGCAAAGATGTTCATCAGAACAAGAGCAGGTCATGTTTAGGGCGAGGTTTACCTGTACTTATAAATTTAAGTGTATGTACTAGTCATGGTCATTGCCCTAAGCGCCCACGAGCGCGGGCTCCTATCCTTATCGGCGGTCTTCAGAATAATTCACCTCTCCAGTCTCTGCTCAGAAATTTTTGGTACGTTAGAGCATGAGACTACCCTGCTATAGATTAGCGCAGGGGATGGAAGCGCCAATAACTCAGCAATACGGAAAGCGCATTTTGACTTGGGAAGAATGCTCTTTTTGGCCGTTTATGGACTCCCTGATTGCCCCTGCTTGATCACCTCAGTGTTCGGCGTACTGTTTGTTGGTCTAAAGAAGCTATTTCCAGATCATCGATTTTTTAACGACACTACCCAACTGAATAGTCATCGTAGAGTATTTATTTCCGAGTATAGTATGGCCACGGCATAATCCATATCACATGCGCCACTTCTTGCACTCAAAGCAATAAGAACTTGTCTAGGTACTTATCTGAGCGGCACTCTCACTTGCGTCCTTGATTGGATTAATTGCCCTCGGTGGTATTCATCGGGCGTGCAACATTGCCCGCTCAAAATCCGTCCATTCCCTTAGCCATGGTACCTCAACCCGCAACACGCCTGGGATTCTTTAATCCATTATTCCACCATCTAAGCTGCAGTCCAATGGATCTTGTGTTCGGTGTTGTCTGATTGGAAGTCTATCTGTCACGTTGATCCCATACACAATGATTAATAGGCTTATGAATCGGTGGCACCCCACTTATGAGGCTCGCAGGACAGACTAGTGGACTGCAGCGGTCTTGGGGTCCTATGTGGATCACTGGCTAGGAACAAATTTCATTGGGTCTGAGGCTGACTTCGCTGCCACTAAACCGGTTTCGTGAATTAACTATCTAACCTAACATCGCTTCGCGCTGTCCTCATTCACATCTACCAAATCAAGATTCCGCACATCATGCGTGTTACTCCATATTTTAGACACCAGGCTAATCATAGTCCTATGAAACATCTCAGGAACTCATATCCCAGAAATTACGAATTGTAGGTATACGCCAGATAGTGTGAGATGTGTTCCACATACTGGCATGTATGGAAAGGGCTACCTCAGGGCAAGTTCTGCCTCAGAGCAAGGTTTACCTCAGAGCGAGTTCTACCTCAGGGTAAGGTGTGCCTCAAGGCAAGTTCTGCCTCAGGGTAAGGTGTGCCTCAGGGCAAGTTCTACCTCAGGGCAAGGTCTGCCTCAGGGCAAGGTCTGCCTCAGGGCAAGGTCTGCCTCAGGGCATGGTCTACCTCAGGGCATGGTCTACCTCAGGGCAAGGTCTGCCTCAGGGCATGGTCTACCTCAGGGCACGGTTTGCCTCAGGGCAAGATGTGCCTCAGGGCGATCTCAGTGCGGGCGCTATTATACACTTTCTGAATATCGTTCTTCTCCTCATGATCCTCTATGAGGACCGCTTCGAAGTACTCTTCTCCGGACGTAAAGAGCCAGAGCCAAATCTGTTGTAAGAAAACAATTCAGAATCGTTGAAGGTTTTCCTTTTTTTGGTAGGGATGAACATCAATTTAGTACATGTCGAATTTGCTCTGTTGTCACTATAATGCCTCCTATACCTCAAAAGTTGGTAACTATAAATCACTCATAAATACCCCTGTGCAACTATTTAGGGATTATATCGAGCAGCCAGTTCCTGCCAAGTAATCTCTTTGGGTCTCGGATAGTACGTCGCCTAAGTTAGTTAGTTTCTGATACCAGGCGTACAGAGTAGTACATCAACCTACCAGCTGCTCTTTCGAAGGAGACCAGCTCCCGTCCGAATTAAAAAAGACAATCTCGCCGCTATGCCTCAATCGAATTGTCAAGGAAATATCCGCGTCACACTCCTGGCAATATTCATATGCTTTTAGGAACAGCTGAATCTTCCGTCGACTTCGTTGTTGGCTCCTTGCCTTGGCGGTGTCCGATCCCCGGTGCTGGATGGTTCTTCCTTTGGTCATCGCGAGCTTATTCGAGATCAGTAGATGTTTGAGGATTTACTAGCGTCAACTAAATCAATCTAAAATACTAATTAACGCGGGCGAATTTGTTGGAGTCATAATGGGACACACTGGCGTATTCTATCTGTTTATATGAGTGACAGGGACCGTGGTTCTGGCGTCGGCCTTCCAATTTTACGTTGCTCCAAGATTTCGATCTTTTTCGAATTGTCACAACGCGCTATCTGTTCCCGTGAAACAAAAGACGCTTTTGTGCATTTGGAAATGCAATATCACCATTCTGCTTTTCTACATTTGCCTTAAAATATTTCAGGTGATATACAAGTGTATATATGTAATCTTGAATACGCAAGCTAGCAATCCTCTACAGATTCCCTACTCACAATCACATATATATCTATATAAATCAGCAAAGATCACGCGAAATAGCGGCTCTTCAGAATTTAAAAGAGCGCCTAGTGCTGATAACTACAATACCCAACAACTGGAGGTTATCTGTTTCAAGTATTTTGGGTTCGTTGAGGGAATTAGTGTCGACATTATTCCCAGTGGGACGGAAGGAAATGTAAGCTCCAACTAGGAAGGCGGTTGCCCAGGCACATTTACTAAAGATAAGCGTTACCCCAAGTTCACACAAGGCCTATAGAGTTGGGTGGCAATTTGTGTTCTCGAAATTAGGCGGATTGTCAAAGAGAGGTCCACTAGGGACTAAGGAGGGCTAGCTGAGGGCCGTTGTGTCTGAAAACTATTGGCCAAGATAGTGGACTACACCAACAATCATTTAAAACATGATGCTTTGAGCAGAAATTAAAGAATTTCCCGAGTTATCGCCCACTTCAAAGGTACTGGTACCCGCAGGTTTACCAGCAGGACAGATTATTGGAAATCAGAATATTAATTTAAAGAAAGGTTTTGATAGTGGGAGGTTACTTATATAGAAAGCTCGACATAAAAGGGATTCAGATGTAGGAACCTCAACGTGGATGGTTCACTGATGTAGATGGCTCTTCCTACCAGGGATACTAAGGACTGATGGGGAAAGTCCGCTTCAAAATTCCAGCGATGCAAGAAAATGAATTTAATCACTACAGATTCCTGACTAATGCGACACCACGAAGCGGTGAAGATATTAAGAATGGCAGAATATTAGTAGAGTAATAATATTCGGGCACGCGAGTGTTAAACTTGCAAAATATTACGACAACGGTAATATTGAGAGACTTCAATATTAGCAGAACCGTAATATCGACGATTCTCGGTGTTAGCGCGGTAAAACCGAGAAGCGATAGCCGCCTAGTGAGAAACTTATTTTTCATTTGTACGTTGGAACCCATCCCATCAAGCGAACGCCCGTTAGGTCACGTGAATGGCGACGACCATGAATGGTATGTCGAAAGGTACCGCATGAGCGGGCGCTCCTTCAGAAAATGGACAGCAGGCCAAGGCGCCCCCACCTATAGTGGGACTAGCGTCCACAGCAGGACAAGAAGGTACGCTAAACAAGAGCGTTGCCGTGAAAAACCCATCCTGAAACTGCTGTCTTGAGACGTCTCTCCCAAAACAATCCCCTGACAGTAAGAAACAAGCCCCATCCAGCGATTCTCACTAGAAATAACGAAGGATATGTACATTTAGAAAGAAAAAAAAATGAAATTCAAGAGAAGGGAAGAGAAAGGTAAGCAACGCTCGACTTTTGAAACGCTGTAGCCTAGCAAAATTAGGTCCGAGCCACAACGATTGGTAAAGGCACCAGACAAAAGCACCCAAGCAGAAATAACAACAAAGTCATGCTTGGCTTCTACGGATAACGGCTAGAAGTGTAACCTGTGGATAGCTACTAAGTATATGGTCGTATCGTAACCTATTACGCAAGGAAATTCTATTCTGAATCGTCTATAGAAAATATCAATCACATTGATACCAGACAAATATTGTGGTCGAGGTCGAAGCGAGACCTCCGCCAGAGTAGGACTGCTGTCGAAAGAGGATAGCTGTTCAAGGACTCATCAAAACGTTTCCCACCCACTTCCTTCTGCCCGCGGCGAAAACTATTTGTAGGCTAGACTACGCGACAGTAATTCTCCGTGATCGGAAAAGCACTAATACTACAACATACCCTGGCAAAACATGGTGCCTTGTGTATCGGCGAAATCTATGGTACGATAAGCCATGTGGAACGCCATAATATACAATAGAAACCGAAGCCGTTGGTGTAGTTATTGTTAGATAAGTCATAAAGGCAATCTAATCAAAGCATAGGATATTTTGGACCTTGTGGTACACCACAATAAAATAAATTCCATTCGTGCCCTAGCGGGAGCCGTAATTGTTCCAAATATACAGTTCCTTGCGGTGATTTTAGCCGTACGGTGTTCGAGACCATCTGACGGGCCATGCTTTCCCGTGGCAAACCACACTTTTACGATTCCTGCATGCCCTGTGACAGTTTCGGCCTTATGGGAAGTCTCTCCCCGTGAAGCGCCATGTTGTGCAACATAATAGGCGCCCTACGAGGATTCTTGGCATGCGGATGGCTAGTCCTCGCGGAGAACCACACTTCTTCGTAGCCATGAACACCTTGGGGGCGGTGGGGACACATGGAGCTCCTAGCCCTGTGGAACACCACAATTCCGAGGAAAGTTCAGCCCCCTATGGTTAATTTAGGCGCATGGAGGTATAGGCCGTATGGCAAGCCACATTTTTACATATTCGCGAACACCCTACGGGCATTTCAAGCCTATGGACCGTTCAGTCCTATGCAGAGCCACTTTTTGATAGACTGATAAGTACCGCGTGAAAATAATGTCCGCAGGAATGTTTTGCCCTTGTGGAACGCCACGTTTCTACCAATATTACCACAACCTGCGGTCGCCTTAGCCCCAGGGAAATATTGACCCCATAAAGGTCCACACTTATCATAGACTCCAAGGTACCCTATCAACATCTACAGAAGCTATATGCCCTGCGGGTTTTCTTGGCATATGGGAGCGTCGATCCTACGGTATGCCATGGTTAACAGATTTGGTTACTTATTTGCAGCCCTGAGGGTCTCTCGCCCGCACGGAAGGCCACGGTTGATCATCCATGGCAAAATTGCCGGGCGATTGTCTCATACATTGGGGCGGTCGGGAGACGAGAAGGGCCGCAAACGTGTAGGCAGACGACTGTCTGCGCCTGGCACCCGCCATGGACGCCAGTTGGCGGTCCTCCCTCCATGGTGGTCGTACGACCGGCGTCCTGCGATGAAGTCGGTCCGCAGCGCGGGATCTAGCGCTTCTGGTACTATATTACTAGACCTTCGCACTCGATCATACTGCACAGGCCATCGGTATCTGGGCCTACCACATTGGGCCTCTGCTCCACCCCCCTCCGACCTTCTAGGTGATCAGACCACAAGCCTATGGCTGATTTCGGCTTAAAGCCGCGGTCCGATCTTTCACTGGGGCTTCAGGTCAGATCGGCCGTTGATACATGCGTAACATTGGCGTCTTTTGACAGAATTCCATATTGCTTAGTTGGTACAAATTGTCGTACACCGGCTGGCCCCTGAAAAGTCTACAGCAGGGTCGTGGGCTTTGATGCTACATCATGGAAAGCAAGCCATGAAACTTAGTACAGTTTTTTCATCCTATAGAACATGGCAATCTGGTGACATACTGGGCATTTGCACGAGGAACCCCTGCACATTGGGATTTTCTATGAAAGGCCAGAAAGGAACCAGGTTGGATACATATGACAGGATATACCTGTCGATGCTGTTGCCGGCGTTCGGTGTGCTGCTCGTAAATGGTGCCTCGATTAAAATAAGATATCTCGTTGTGGACAAAACTTATGCATATTCCACATCATGTATTCCTACAGTTTCTGAACCTTTCCTGAATGCTTTTCGCGATAGTGAAGCGGTAACATGCGTGGTTGGACCCGGCTTACTAAACTCCTGGATCAGGACCACTTACTTCATCTACGTTGATCTGGTGGGAGACCTATGGAGAGCCTTTGCCATTCCTATTCTGCGTGATGAGTGATAGCTTCAGCGAAAGTTTCTCCACAGTCATAAGTGAGACAATCATTGGTGTCGAAAGAAATGAAAAGGGCGGTGGTCTGTTGAAAGGGGAGAGGGATCTGGGTCCAGTCCGAAGCAGACCTCAACGAATCGTGATTAGCGTGGGACAATGGTGGTTGAAGGATCCACAGATCCCTTCATGTCTGTCTCCACTTCACGTTAGCGTGTCCAGTAGCATTGCAACATTGGGTTTAATGCCCCTTCTTTGATCAATGAAGCTGCAGCCCTAGGAAGAAGACATCAATGCCCCTCAATGGCCATCAACGCCTATCAACGCCCCCCAACAGTGATTTCTATATTTATCTCGCGTAGTACTAGTGTTTGACATATCGTTCAGCAGCATGTTAAAGACTGGGCATTGGAAGGAACGGTCACACGGAAAAGGAGGAGCACTGACGCTCTTAGCAAGGTCCACGTTACTCTCAAGAGCATCATTGTCCATCCCAGAGATATGGCTATACCTCCTGCAATAGACGTTAATCCTGAACATGGCTAGGTTCCTCCCAGGAAGGCTCTAATTCCTCACACGCTTGCTTCCTTCGCGTGCTATTCACCCGTACCTTTCTTGACCTCATCACCCGCAATGCTGCCGCCATATATCGTGAGCTTCGCCAGAAAATCATGAGCGTACAACTCTATTATTGAAAGTGCTAAAATACGTAAAGTCACACTGAGATATGTCGTCCTGATTCAGTACCGCTTACCTAATCTACATTGATCTGGTGGGAAGCTTATTGAGGGACCTTGATGAAGATCTGTCATACCAACTCTGCGTGACAAGTGATGGCTTCGGTAAGTGTCTGCACCGGCGTGAGACAATTCTTGGAGTCAAAGGAATTGAATGGACATGGTTGCTGTCTTGAAGGGCGATAAGGGTCTGGGTCCAGCCCGAAGGAGACCTCGACGAATCACGATTAGCGTGGAGCAATGGCGGCTGAGGGATCCACCGATCCCTTCCTGGCTCCGCTTCACGTTAGCGTGTTTACTACTCTGAAGGGGGCCTGTCTTCGTGGATCATGGTGGGTGGGGAATAGTGGTAGTCGCTGAGGAGCGCTGAGGAGTGCTGAGGACCGCCCCGAAGCTTGCCCCATGATCCCCCTTCACTGCGGGTTTTGTATCCACTCAAGCCCCTCATAGTCTCCATTTCAAGTTAGCGTGACCAATGACATTGCCGTATTGGGTTTAATGCCCCTTCTTTGATCAATGAAGCCGCAGCCATACGAAGAAGACATCAATGACCATCAACGGCCATCAACGCCCCTCAACATTCATTGTTCTATTTATCTCGTGTAGCACCAGTGTTTCAAATATCGTTCAGCAGCGTGTCAATGACCAGGTAGTGGAAAGAACGGTCACATGAGAGAAGGGGATGGAAATATATAAAGCTTGTCGTTCCCGCCGCTCGAGCTGGAAACCATCGTCTTTTCTCTACTCATAAATTTTATCCTAGCTCAACTCTTGGTCGTCTATCTGAACCTCAAAAGGCTTTTCAATTTCAATATTATTTTTTGCATCATTGTGTTGCGTTGCCTTCCTCTACAAAGGTGAAGTTATCATGGTGTGTTCGTTTATTCCTTACTTCGTTGTTCCGCGGTTGGCTCCTATGATAGTTTTGCTCTCTTTCTACCGACTGCCAACATGTTAGATTCTTTATGTACCGTATTGTGTATTGATCGTGTTTTATCTGACCATGTCATACTTTATTCCATGTGCTGTCTTCCTGTTGCTGGCCTAGGTCTGCTGTCAAGTTGAACCACCCTCTTTTCTTGATCGACCGCCTGGTAGGTCGAGGGTGCCGGCCCATCCTGCAAAACATCAAGTCGGTTGCCACCAGCCCTGCAGCCAATTACCATAGTACTGTGCCGCGTCCTGTTGTGTGGCCCTCGGATTGCTTTCGCCGGATGTCATTTCGCGCCAGTCTGACCCTTAGGTGGTACATGTGAGAACGCGACATGATTGCTGACAGTTCACTGGGGGTTCTGTAGACCTCGTGGGCATCGTGTCCTGGAATGTCACCGCATTATCAGCCGGCCTTCTGCAAATGGGATGGCCCCTGGCCGTGATTTATGGTTTACGAAATACAGTACCCACGATAATGTATGACCAGGCCTTCATGTCTTCGATGGATATCAACCACAACCCTCCGCAAAAGAAAGAGCCCGGGCTGCCAAATCACTTGGCAGGCTCATCTTTTCCTTAGACCTTTTCTTTATTTCCTTATAAATACAGGCTGACCCAGGCTGACCCAGGCTTACTTCAATACGAGCCGGGTGGATGGTGCATGGTACATGGCTCGACGGCCTATCGGAGTTGGGGCTCATTCATTCTGGCCAGGTCTGATCTCTCCTTTGTTGACTTAGTTCCCATCAGTTGAGTTACCATTCTGACATGGATCGAACATAACCTAGAATCCCGGTTCGCGCTGATATGCCCCATCCAGATCTACACATTCACCGTCGGCACTCCCCGTATGATACCATATCCCACACGTTTACTTTTAGAGAATGCTAACCTGTGTTGGTCTATACCATTGTGAAGTGGATTGGCATACCATCTGACTAGTTACCCTCGCGAATCCCAACCTGTTGCGGTCATGCAATATTGCTATGATTGCTCTTAACCCTGGGGAGCGCGGAGGCTGAGCTAGTCCGCGGTAGCGGTGCCCAGTGCCAATTGCCACAAATGAAGTTGTTCAAAGCTGATGATACCATGTCCGCAGCACTGCCCGTGACACAAAGGAGCACTACCTGGCCAATTGCTGCTTGTTGGATGTCCCGGATGCGCAGTGCGAGTAACAGTGACTGCAACCATGCCATGTCACGCTGGGTGGAAAGGGGGCCAGAAGGGTATAAAAGGAGTCCAGTCCCCCAGTCTGAGATTAACTGGCCTGCAACTTCCACATTCCCCATCCAAGAGCTGCTTCCCACATCATCCTGTACGTACATAATGACAAGCCCTACCCGTGAATGGCGAAAAGGCTTCGGACACAAATGTCGAACCTCCATTGAAAGGCCACAAGACTATTCTATGTTGGGTTCGGTGAGTAGGCCCATCCTCATTGATTGCGAGGATGACAGGGCCAGTGGACGGGATGACGCGGATGGTGATACCATCCCGGAAACGCCCAGCCATCGCTCACTGAGCTCTGTGTGCCATGACAGCCAGACACATTTGACTTTAGGACATTCCGGGTCAGCCGCACCAACCGCTTTGGCGGGAGGGTCTCCATCCTATGGCGAGATGGCGGTGCAGCGATCAACCCACGGTGAATGCGCCTCAGCCGTTTCCTCGTTGGTGGAGGACACGGAGAGCGCCGTACAGAACATACGCCTAGGTATTTTGAACCGTGCTCTACGATTGACAAAGAACTTACAAGGTCTAGGGCATGCAGGCGAGAGTAGAGGACAAGCGGCGTCTGACGGAGAGCATATCCATGGTCGCTCTGACTGTAATGACAGCATGGCATTCCCATCAGCTGAACAAAACAGTAACTGGGCTGCAAAGACCGGTAAGTCATTTCTTCACTATTAGGATTGTCCGCTGGCTGAACGAGTACACCAGATACCCTGTTCGATTGCCCTCGCTCAATGCCCGTGCAGCCACCAGGCAGTCAAGCCGATTCTGTGACAAGCGTCCTTGGACACCGGTCAACTCAAGAGGGTGGCTTGGAATTCCTTTGCCTCAAACTGGAGTGGCATTCCTACTCCGAGTTGAGACGGCGTGCCCCGCAGCTGCTCACTCACTATGTCCATCATGCCAGCTTCCAACATAGTCCCAGAGGACGTAAACGACGGGCCGTTTCGGAAGTGCCCCTAATGTCAAAACATCCAAGGAGAGCTAGGGGGCAATAGGTCAGGTCACGTTGTGTCTCTTCACATTTCTGTATGGCCAGCTTGATTTACCCAACTTGATTTTCTTATAAATTTAAATCCAAGCTTTGTGAAATGGCAAGTTCCTCGATACATGCGTTATTGGCCAATACGAAGTCGCTTCCGCCCGTGTGCCTCGGCCCCACACGAGTGCTGCTCTCGTAACTTCATTCGCTTTTTCATCGGCCGGCTATCCAACTGGGAACGATGAAAGTCAATGATCAACACCCGCCCTAACTCGGCGTTCCACAGCATATTATCCGACCGAAGGTCTTGGTGTAAGACCCCAAGTGAGCGAATCTTCTTCTGCGATCGCGAAATTTCATGCCTGATCGACTCAACATCTTCCAACTTGTGGATGGGTTCACCGCCCCAACCCATGAGCAGCATATGGCGGATCTGGCCAGCCCCGTGCAGGAAGTAGATCATAGCCAGGTCAATTGTGCCGAGAAAGACCGGTATGGCTCGCCCTTGGGCTCGCCAAAGGATGCGATAAATATCCGCCTCTCGCTTTACCTCGTCCCACAGGTACGACGTGGTTCCTTTCCCGACGACCGTATACCCATAGGCCGTGCTCGTGATTTTGAAAGGCGCTCCTGATGCTCCACAGCCTCCCATCGGGGTGCAGTCGCGGTCGAGGTTTTGATCTAGTTGCTGCTTAATCTGCCGAACCAGACCGCTGGCGTCAATCAAATGTTGGTTGCTGGTCCCGCCCTGTCGATGGAGCTCGACATTCGGGCAGCGGTCATCTAGCATGCCTCCTCGCTGTAGGCCAAGAAGACATCGCTGGGTACAAAACTGAGCGTTGTGTTGGTACCGACCGCGTTCATTCTGCTGCCCTCCTGTTTGACAGACAGATCGCTGTACCGATGGAGATGATGGTGATGATGTGACCTGGCTGAAGCCACGCTTCCGCCCGCCGGGAGCGGAGTCCGTATCAGAGTCTGGAGAATCCTCTCGTTCCATGGTATTCGGCGCACACTGAGCTCGAGACCGGGTCGGTATTCGACGTCGTTGCGTAGGGGATTCCACCGGAGAGGACGATGGGAGGTACTCCGAGACCGACCGTCTGGAACTGACCGAGGGGCTATATTCGGAGCTTGGTGGGTTTTGTCGTAATTCTCTTTCCGGTATTTGGGAGCGTGTATGATCGAAACTCGTCTTCCAGACCGGCAGCTGCTTCTGTGCCTCATTTCGCCATGCCTGGTCGCGGACCGGCGCGCCAAAACTCATCAAGCACAGACACAATACCCGCGCAATAGCCGTCAACGGCTGATCAAAACTCTGGTCATCATTCAGATCGATCTCCATGTTTGGCTCACAGAGGTGGTAGTATAACGTGCCCGGCTCATCGTAAGGGACACGTAATAGAACCAACGCCAACCCGTTCGTCAAGTATGAGTACTCAAGACCTTCCTGGATCATGACATGATACTCTTGAGTTATAGCCGAGCCGGTCAGCCAGGCTGCATTATACGCCAATTTTGCGGATTCCTCCGTGGGGATAGAATTCGGTCGGACTACCTCTTCCCAAAAGTTCATCTCTCGCAATCCTGCGCGGAGGTTCTCAACAGACAGCTTGTGGGGCGGCTTATACTCGACTGTCGTAAGAAGCGTATTTCTATCGCCATCAACCCGACGTATGCAAAATTGATCTGGTCTGGAACGCCGGTACGTCGAGGGTTCAGTCGGTAGGGATGGGTCTGTCTCAATCGGATCGAGGGCGTTTGCGTGATTGTCAAACTTGACTCCATCGCCCAAGCCAAATCGATCTCGGGCAGCAGGGTTCTTGCAGAGTTCTGTGATAATGTCATGAACATAGTTCTCCACACCAAATCGTTCATAGCTCTCCAGATCCTGTTCGCTACTTATGGGTCTTTCACCAAACCTTTGCCCAAGATCCTCCAGCACAAGACGCGGCGTGAATAGTTGCGCAACGGTCTCCCCCGAAGGTTCCAGATAGGCACAGACAGAGCGGTAAATCTCCTGTTGTCTGGCAGCACACTCTTCCCAATGCCGAAGCCGCAACGGACAATGTTTCCCGGTCGGCGGGGGTATTTTCCCAGTCGTAGAGCGAGACGGGGATTCAGCTCGTAACTGCAGCGAGAAAAAGGTGTGGCACAGGCGAAGGAGCTCGAGAAAGGTCGTTGGCCGTGTTCGTTCTCGTCCTTGGTCCCGCTCTTCTTCTGCCCGCCTCCGTTCTTCCTTTTCTTGCTCGCGCTCTTCCTCTGCCCGCCGCCGTTCCTCCCTCTCCCTCTCTCGCTCTTCCTCTGCCTTTCTTTTGTCTTCCTCCGCCCTCAGATAAAGCGCCTTATAATCTGGAGAGCTGGAACTATCCATCTATTCGATAAGTCGTGGATATGAACAGAACCGACGCGGGTTATTCGGACAAGAATCTAGAACAAACGGGATATCAACAAACAGGATCGGCTGGAGAAGTCTGACCTGGGAATACGACGGCATTCAAACCCGAGCCGGCGAAGTCAATATGAGGTAAGTTAAGAAAAAGACATAACGATATACCCTATTCTAGTTCAAAGCGTTCGTCCAGCATCAGCTAATCTGTAAAGGTGGCATCTTATAGGGTATATGATTAGACAGGAGACGAAGGAAAGGTAAACTGTTCGGGGAGAAAGGGCTGATAAGTGCTTGCTTATCACGTGATATACTAGTCATGTGGACCGACTCGTGTGGAGACACGTATTATTATTAGTGCACATTGGCCGTGCCAAGCATTTATCTATGACCCACGCTAACCTTCAATAGGTCCCGCAACCAATAAAAACATCATCAACCGATATTTACAGGTGAAGGGAGAGAAGAAGAACCCCCAGATCAAATTTTTGACATGTTTCCAGATCCAGTCCGGCACCTTTTGCTCCTGGCGCTCCCACAAGGTAGCCAGAACATCCCCACGAATTAAATAAGCAAAATTAACCAGTGCCTGATGGAATTGTGCATATAACACCGCCAGTTGCAGTTCCGCTTGATACCGGCCATTGCCATTGGTAGTTGGATACACGCAATAGTTCAGTCGGTGTTTCCGGACCAGTTTACTGATTGTCTCGGGAGTAAGCTTAAGAACAACCTGGCCACCAGGGTGGAAGGAAGATATATATGCTTCGACGTACACAACGTCATTTCCTAGGTTCGGGGGAAACGCCATCGAACAAAGCATCCATGTGGTGTTACCGATACTGTCACTTTGACCAGGACCATGATGATCAGGGGGATTGTCTTGCTCAGGGTTGATTCTTGGCTGAGGGCTGCACGGGGTATTTCGCAAGCTGTCCCAATCAGATGCGAGAGGCTGAATCAGAGACTCATTCAAATCGACGAATTGAGTTGGTGTTGGCGTCGGAGAACGTGAAACGTTACCAAGTAAAGATACAGCCGGTGGTCCAACCACGGAGAGCTGGTCTTCTGCGAAGGATGATCCGGGAGCGTTTCGAGTGATGTTTTTATTATTCATCCAGTGATAGACGGGCTGGCACTGCATCCCACGCTTCGTGCATTGGTCACAAGGAATTTGCTCCGAACACTGTCTAACTTAGCCAAGTATACCCCCCCCCTCTTTTCTCCTCTGTCATCTGTGGAGAGATATTGGTCACTTACCTTGATTTTTCTCTTACGGCATGTATAACATGCCCGCATCCGCATGACCCTCTAGACAAGTAAGTATGGTCCACAATGAAAGTGTCTTCCGGAAGTTATTGACCTTCTTTGGGTAACGACATTTCTTTCCCGTCGTGACACACCTAGAGCCAGGCTGTCCTTTAGCGCTCTACGCCAGTTAGATTATACGCCCTCTAGACGTGATTGTAGATTACCTTCAGCCGTTGCCTGCCGCACTCGATACAGACTGGTATGTCTTTTTGCCGAAGGGTGCATTCCAGACCACGTTTGGTACATTGAAAGCAGGGTCGTGTCTCAGTGCACTGTTAGAGGTTAGGTGAATGTCCTTTCGTTTATGCGATTACACTGAATTACTCTGATTTTTTGTGAATAGCAGAAATGGCAGGCCCATGGTACCTTCTAACACAGTAAGCATTATCCTCCCTAAATTACGCACCTTGTATGAACATACCATTTTTTGTATTCGTCAGGCTTGAGGAACAGTCAATGAGCCCATGAGAAGCTTTCAAAGTGAGATAGTGGTAAAAAGAGGGCACGACCCGGATTATAGAAGGGGGCCAGTCCATGAAATCTAAGGACTGAAACCTTCCGCGTTTATATCATTCCCGGCAACTCCTCCATTCGACTCCGAATTTCTAGAATCACGCCTTACCCCATAATTACAATGTTCGGCATTGTACCTCCGAAAAATCGACATCTAGAACAAACTTACCTGCACCGATCAACAGTGGCTATGTTTCATTAATGCGACAAGGGTTTACAAAAGGCAGCAAGGTAACATCCCTGCCCGCAAACTGCCGATCCTGCTTAGATATTACGATCTACAACAGAAGCGACAAGAAAGCCACAATATGTGAAGTACCAGATACGTTTACGGTGACCGGGTCTGTCAAACTTGTGGCGTGGTCGCGTCACATTCCTTCATTATACCCGATCTAGAAGTACTGGTTGACCAATTACTTGTAGTTGGGACTGTGCTTGATTGACCAGCTATCTGCCTGACCTCATTGGGGATGAACAGATAATACAAAGGTTGCTTCAGCACCAAAGGCTTTACAGTACCACAATCCCCTCAGCTTGTAAGTTGTCTTTTCTGGCTCTTATTGCAGGTATATTGCGCTTACTGCATGAGTACTAGCAAACGGTGACAAGACAGAACTCGGAAAGCACGGGACGCCTGTACCAGTCCAATAACCTTAGCTTCTCCCCCATGGATGGAATACCATCAAAGGGATCGCAAAGGGGGAAAAAGCATTAGCGAGCATTAGCTCCCTCGAAAATCCCCACCAAACAACCAATGTTTAACCAGTCGGCACAATTTCGACGAATGTTTGACCTGCCACAACTAATAGTTGGGTGTTGTGCAGAGTGACCTCATACGGGGCTGTAGGCTCCGACATAAAGCTTTCCCAGTCCTGGTGGGTTCCAGGGTACACAACAATCGTTGCGGAACCTCTCACGACCCCAAAAACCGAGAGCCCATCTCCCACAATCCCGCGAGATGTGCCATTCTGAATGAGGACTGAGAGCTTTCGCCACGAAAAATCGCCGGCGGCTGCCGGACAATATTCTGAAATTCCATTCCCAATGCTCGTTCGATGGTTCCCTCAATCTAGTCCTATGTCAGTTGCATTCCTTTTTTTCAGTCGACCGATAACATTACTCCAGGGGCATTAGATCGTAAAAAGGCAACGCATTCTTCGTCTCCCAGACAGTGTAATGTGGGCGACTCGTGGTACTTTTTGGCTTGTTCATAGGCCTCTTCGACGGCTCTCACGGCTTCTTCTGCCGGGAGGCCCTGCCGGTAGTACCTCTGGAAGCCTAGGTTCTGCATTGCCCACACAGGATCATCATATGGCACCAGGCCCAGGTGGTCAGCAGGGGTCGGCAGTTCGTTCATTTTGGTTGTAACGAAGATGACTCAGCAAACTTCTATCCAGTGGGTAGATGAGGTGTATAGGTTTGGACTCCGAGCTGAGGTCGTATCTGGCCCTTATATACATAAAATCAGCACCATCCAGACTGAGTTAGGTGTAATAGACAACATCATGTCTCAGTGGTCACAGGAAACCAGAACACCATTCTTTCCATATACGACGAATCGCGCACCTGTCCCCACTTCAGAATCGCGGCTAGACTACAAAAGTCGGCCGTTGTCAGATGGCCAGGGCAAACACGCAAAGGACGTGGCGACAGGGAGCCTCGTGGTGGTTAAATCGGTACTAGAATATATGGCACTCTACAATTGCTGGAGATTGTATTGGCAGTTGAATGTCGCTAGATTGATCAGGTAATGTTATGACCGCATTGACTTTTGTTTAACGCTATACATCGAGTACCGATCAAACGGGATGCACACGGCACTTACCCAGAGCTTCAAATCGGATCGGTAATGGCTCCCTACCAAACTATTTCCGAATAGACTTGAATGACAATTCGCTAAGCCAGTCGATAAAAGGACATGATATGCAGCGATCAATACTTGCTATGTCACATCGATACGACCAGGTTCTACACAGTCCACCGAAATAAAATCCGAACACAACTAGCTACCAACTTGGTTCAGGATATTGCGATCTACAGGAGAAATAGCGACAAAGACGGAGAAAATTAAGGAGCAGTGACGTGAGCGGCGTCTAGAGACTTGCTCACTGATCCCTTGTCTAGTGTACTAGGATTCTGCTCCTGCTGCAGCGGTGGTGTCCCTGGAGATCAAGTATCAATCCTCCCAGAGACTAGACCTTCCCAGGCCTATGTCCTTCCGAAGTACACCAGCTACTCCACCTAATTCAACCTAGACATTAACTCAGACACCCGCACCCCATCGTTTGAGACTTCACTGATATAGCCTACTCTATGTAGGTCATGTATAACGAAAAACCTTTATAACGTTAATAAACCACATATTTTACTAGAAAGATACACTCACACCCAGTAAGCACATGGACAAGGTTCACAAGAACGATTCAGCAAATTCGTTATGTGGGGTGGAATAAATATATAGTCTTTTAATGCCTCCATAGTAATGGAATCAGAAGTGAAACAGTATCCGATGCTGTCCGAAAGTGTGGTTGGGGCTTCGATTGTCTGAAGACCAGTTTTTGTAATAGTTTTGCTGTATTTGTTCGACCCGCTGAATGTTATTACCCAGTGCTGTTGGCATTGCGCTGTGTTGATCCGCTGTACCTGAACGACAGCGAATTTGTCGTGTATATTATTATCTGTGAATTCCATAGTAGCTCAATAGTGGAAGTATAAGGAAAGCAGCTTATAATGGAATGAGAAATAAATATGATAGTCGACTGGAAGTATATAATGCAGAGACTATGTAGTATTACGATGGCGCGGGGGTTTATCCAAAGCACTTAAAAGTGTACCGAGCCATGACCCAGAAATTGGCAATATACTACCAACTGAGTACCATTGTATGACCGCGAAACAAAATAGGACGAATATAATGTGACTTCTTGTCTCTTGGGGTGGAGCTACTATTCCGCTCCCTGTTCCTTTAGGAGAATGCTCCATTAGACGCTGAAACACTGTCCCCACTTACAATGATCCACTAGGTATTCACACCATTCAGAGGCTAAAAATGATCCACTTTCGGCTGTCCTTCAGTACAAAGTATATCTTCGAAGTTCGATTCTCATTAGATTAAATTGACATTGGCCTTTACAAGCAGCTCTTTGCCCCGCTCAAACATTCCATTGATATTACTGCGCAGAGTGCCCACGTACTGTTTCCTGGCTACATGGAGCATGATGCTGGGCTTTGACAATTGTAAGTCTTGGGACGTTCAGTATGTTGGGCTTCTACACTTACAAGACGTTGTAGTGGGCAAGAGATACCCACAATTCAGATAATCTGTAATAAGTGCCCATCTATACTAATCAGTAATGGTAGCGCTGGCACGATGCTTTAGAACGTACATGGAGCCACAACAACTATGTCCAATATCTGAGCCGTCCTTGTCGAAGATCTCACATGCAATATCGTTCAGATTGGGACAAGAATAATGCACCGTATATATGGCAAGCTCCTCAGCTTGGGGGTGGGGCCAGGCGTAGTTCTCAAGCCATAATAGTCGGTGAAAAATTTCTGGCTTAGATAAAAACTTGTAGTGATTCGTGGTCAGGCTAGTGTTGCCTCCATCGTGATAGAATGTTAGAATGTAATGTAGTGGGTGGTAGACACAAGGACAATTGGATAGCCGAACGGAGTGTACCCGGGGAGAAGGACCGCGACGGGTTGCGAAATGGAAGGTGTCCATGTTTGAAAGGTTGACGGGCGAGAAAAAATAGATATTCGAGAGGAGGTATATATATTCATATCTACACAAAGCCAGACTGGCTATACATGGGATTAAATCCATGTTCAGCATGAATATATGGCCATTCGTCCTTGGGTACACACGGAGACAGTTTTTGTCTCAATGCACCCTGCTTTTTCCCATTGAAAAATGACACCGAGCAGCCCATGAGTTTCGTCTTCTCCCGGTACTTTACACAAAACAACATGACCGCCTCTTGAAGAGGATAATGAAAAACACCCAAATAACTGAGTGGTCTAATTTGATCCTTGGTCGAATCATCCAGCATGGTAAACACACACCATGCCTGTTTCTACAAGTTATGGTTAAATCAGCATGTTCAGGCCAAGGCCTTAAGCAGTTGCGACTTACTGGTTCGGGTAAGCTTGACTCTGGGAGACCAATTATTTCTCCACTGTCCCTGGAAGTCGAAGTGCCTTTGGTTCCATTTGTTGGTGCCTGATCATTGCGCAAGGTTTCTGGTATCGCCGCTATGGCCTCTTCTCCTAAGTCCGTAGGTGAAGCTGGTTTGATGCGCTGTATGTTGGGGGCCGAGGGGGGATTGGACTGTTTTGGGAACAAACTATAATTCTGATGCTTCGCTGGGGCCGGCAGGTTTGGCTGTTCGTTCTCATAGGATAATGGCCTTGGGGTTTGATACTCCGAAGAGCGACTCTGCGGTTCATCATGGCCCACAGCACTATCTCTAGATTGGCTGTCATCCTGTCTGCCATTGTCGCAGTCCATCAAACCTACGGGGGAGCGTCGATCGAAGCAGAATCGCCTGAGCCACGGTGGGATTATTGCCTGCAGGAATATGTCATTGAAGCAGGTCATGATTAACGAGCAAGACCAATAAGGCTGTAAGTTGGAGAAAAGAGCGCCAATAGTGTCTGAGAATGATATCGGTTTGTTCCCTGAAAGAATATGCGGTGTAAAAACAACGCTTTTCTCAGTCTTATATCGCTGGATAGTGGTCTGGCATATTAACGACTAGGGTGATCCATTATCGTGTATTCTTCCAGCGCTTTTTCCTGTTTGTCCTTTTCTCTTCTACTTGCTGCGGAAGCGGTGGTGATGCTATAAACGGAGAATCTCGATTCGCCATGGGGGCACTAGTTTCAAACCTAACTTGATATAACAGACCTATAATATTGATGCTGTGAACATTTAGATGCTTTGAGGCTTGGGTAATGCATCTCCTCCATACAAACCTTGAAAGGGCTAGCTTTGATAAACGGAGCTAAGAAACACACCTTTCCACTTCTGTCTAGTCTTATGTGCAGGACTTTAAACTTCTAAATGGATGCAAAATTATGGGGTTTTACGCGGAGTCACTCAAGATGACACGGAACATAATAATAACATTGAAATATGATTGACTTTAGGATGGGGGAATCGAGAATGCCTGCATAGCCGAGTAACTTCCTGGTCGCCTCATCGATAGTGTGTGGGCGCTATACCCATTTCTATGACCTAGGTTTAAATTAGCATATCCAAGCCAAGGCGTCAAGGTAGTAGCCATTTACTATTTCATCTAGCCCTGGGAGATAAACTATTCCTTCATCGCCCTCTAATGTTGACGCTCTAAAATGCTTCATCACCACCGGATTATTGGATGGACTCGGTGCCCTTGTTGGTACCCTTGTCGGTGCCTCTGGAATACTGGGCTTTCTCGCAGAATGAAAGGGATTACCAGTGTTTCTCCCTGTAATAATACGCCTAGCCAATTCCCTGCGCAGAGTACATAATTGGGTCACTGCATCTCCAACAAGGGTACAGCTGTCAGACGCACTATCAGTGGTTAAATCCTCGGTTCCCTCTATATCCTGATCAAAGCTGCAGTTATTGGTCTGCACGGTGGTGCGAGATTCGACAATGATGCTACCCCCGTTGATATACTCAACAGAGTGAATCTACCCAAATTGCCACATTAGACATTTCCTAATTATCAAGTAGTTCATACTCACAGATATTTCCTCAAAGGAAGGCATATTATCGGAGAAAGAAGTCAGGTCATCGGATTCTCTCTGTCTTCTCGGGAAGCAGAACAAGTGGCGCAAGCGGCGGAGTACGTAGAGTACGTGGGGTACGCGATCAAGCCAAGTCATGATTAAGAGAGATGTATGGCAATCAGAACTAGCTCTTCTAAGATGAGTCAACGGAAACCTGTATTGATCCGTGCCAAAATGCGGTGAGCACTTAGGGCGAGGCTGGCTTATTTATAGACAATACTTTCGTATATAGGATCCGGATCAGTTTATTTTTGTAAGCTGAAAATCAATAAACTGGAGTGAGAATATCACTAGAAGGTTATGCCCCATTTCCATGAGCAGTATCTATGATTAGAGCAAGATGCAATGCCACTGTAATTTTGACTTATAATCCTGGCCAGTCAGATTAAAAGAGTCTACATTATTAACAAAAGAAATTCAAGTCCGTGATGAACAGTATAAATCGTATTCAATTGCCAAAGTAGTTATACAAGCCCGAGGATACTAAAAAGAGTCCCTGATAGGTAACGGACATCAGGAACCAAATAGCCAATCATGATCTTTGGCAGCTGTTTTGAGCAAAGGCCTGAATCAAGCTGAAACCCATCTATTCCTTCAGAGAAGAGATGAGTGGTGCCAAATGCACAGTGGGGAGTTCTGACCGCATAGATTCCGATTAAAAGGATTCATGTGGTGCACACAGTCGTAAATATCTACCACTAACAAGTATACAAGCATCAAGAGATATTGCTAAACTATAACCAGCACTCTCGTCGAATTATTTTGTTTTGTTCCAAGGAGTAGCGCTTAGCAGCGTGAGGTCCAGCAGTAATAAACGGTTTTTGGCCGACAGGAAAACGCTTTCAGATGATCTTTGCACTGCGGGCTGCTTTCTGCTGGGCCTTACATCTATTGTTTTGGCCTATTGGCTTCTTGAAGAGTGTTTGGATGGGGGCTCAGTTGGTGGTGAGTGGAAACCTCTCAAAGATCGTCTTAGTGGGCCCACCGTGCCGAGAGTACTTCGGTCAATACGGGGTGAGTCGGATAATCGGTCATGCCCCACAGATACGGAGCGGGATCTACCAATCGAAACACAGCTGTCTGGCCAGCGGCCAGACAGCTGTGTTTCGATTGGTAGATCCATTTTCTAGCGTTTCGACCTTTCCTTCCTCGTACCCCTCTACTAAGATATATTTGCGGGGACCCATCTCGCAGTCCAAAATTCCTACCAAGAGACTCGCTATGGCACCACAAGAAACCGAAGTCATATCTGCCTTGAACTTGCTCCGCAATACTCCCAGTGACATTCTCAATGCTCATCGTCATCTAGCACTTCAGACTTTGGGTCAACTTGGACGCTTGCTCAATGCTAGCTGGAATGAAAGCGAACACCTTTCACATAGCATTGATATGGAACACGGCGATGGATCTTCGGAAAATGCCATCATTCCTAGGACCGTGGTCTTCCAAACAGAAGCTTCTTCGGAAATTACAGACCTACCTATTCATGAAAAAGATTCTATCAACTTACCCTTCACCTTACCGGGCCCAGAACCCGCTGTATTGTCGAAGACAAACTCTTCGGAAAACACAACGAGAAAACGAAAACGAGACACCATCCGAGAATCTCCTTCTGCCAAACTCATCGGACTGGTGAAAAAGCGACTCCCTTGTATTTTGCAATTTTGCAAGTCCAAAGCTTCTCTTTCTGACATCCTCCAAAACGAACAAGAGCTACAGTTCGCAGATAAAAGAGTTGATCATTTGAAACAAGTTGACGGCAATAAAACACCAAGCGAAGAACAGAAGCTTCTGAAGGGTCTAAGTCAATTATCTCTGGCTGAACAATTCACTGCCTGGGAGACTGAGAATGGTTGGAAGTCTAGAGTGGACACCCTATACGACGAGATCCGAGTCGCTAGGACCGAAGGCCGAAACGGAACTGGCAGTGCCAGATGCGCTGGAAAAATGACTCGATTCGTCAGGGAGCATGGATATCCTCAATCAGATCATAACGTCGTCCGGAAGGGAATCCAAAGAGGGATCACTCAGCTTCTATTCTTGAGGTCAATGGAGGAAGTCTCCACCACGCCTATCCAAAAAAGAGCCGCCCGGGGAATACTTGCTCTGGTAACAATTTTTGAAGCCGCTTCGTTCCAAAGTATCTCATATCTGGAACTACATGCGCTGGGAGAAGCCTTACTTAAAGGCCATGAAGGGGATGACACCCTTGTGTTGGAGCATGACGTTTCGAAATGGTTCGAAAACATGACCGGAGATTTCGAAATGGTCTCGCAAACAACGAAACGGGGACGACGAGACCCGCTACAGACTACGCATGCCCCTTCTCATGGTCCCAGCATAAACTCTCATGAACTCACGACCTTCTCCACCCTTCCTCGAGTCGAATCGAACAGCCGGAGAATGCCATTACATCCTTCACTGATTGAGTTCCAGGCTAGGCCAGGCGAGGCTGGCATGTTGCCAAACGCAGGGTCACACGATTTGGCTCAATTCTCTAGAAATACAAGTAATGCTAATTGCGTCTTGACTGGGAACTCCAATCCATGCAGTGAGTCACACGAGCTCAGTCTATTTTCCAGGGGTCCCTCCAGTGTTTCAGCTCAGTCACAATTGCCTCATCCACCGCTGTGTTCTCCATTTCCCGGTGATGTTTCGAGGCCGCTTCCAACCCTTCGATCAGCACCAAGTCCTACCCCACATGAGGGTTCTTCCTTCCCCACTATTCCCGCATAATAATCCTACAACCCGTCCGCTAGAGCAAGATGAAAAGTAGGCGCAACTTTGGTTCGATCTTTACTTCTTGGTTTACCTTCATATATAGTCTCTTGCCTTCTTGAAGGGGCTTCCCTGAGGCGCTGGGGCTATTGCCAAGTATCTCGATTGGAATGATAAATGCATCGCCTTTGCTGTGGTGGAATGGCGCATATTTCGGTCCCGGGATCTGTACCAATGAATACCCCTGTCTTTTGTTAGGCGCCCGTTCTGAATTAAATGGATACTATATACCTTGTCAAGAAGATTGAGTGACCTTAAGAAGGGAACTATCTTGGTGTCTAAGTCTTTTGAATTGTGAATTTGAAAATCATCCGCTTTTTTCTCGAACGGAACTGAAGACGCCCATTCTGCGAAGATCTTTCGTTCCGTGTTCGCACTTTCAGGTAGGTCGTCCTCAAACAAATGTGGCGTGCTCGATGTTATCTGCGACATCATTAAGGCCGTATTCCCGTTGAAGTTAGTGAGTGATTTATTTTCAAGGTGGAAGGAGAGTCGGGTAATAAGGGCGATGAAATAAAAAAGAAGTGGGGTTAAAATGATTGCATGGCGGGGTACGGAGTAATCAAGGCTCCCGAGCGACTTCACACGTGATTGGATATTACGAGATCCTTGGGCACCAAAATTCAGAAGTTTACCTGACACAAGCTGATTTCGATAAGCAATCGGTTTCCCTTAGCTGACAAACCCTTTCTAACCCAGGGCACGTGTTCGGTTAACCCAAATCGGGCGCCTTTGCCTTGTATTCTCCACGTCTGCTACGTTGTCCGGAAATTACATCTTCCAATCTCCTGCCCAGCCATAGTGAAAAAATTGAAGTCGTCATTATTGGCTTCTTCATACAGCCAATTAGCAGTAAACTGTTAAACCTTCTTCTACTCGCGTGTGATGGGTTTAAGCTTTATGCTGCAGAACTACAATATACTAGTTTTAAAGGAACAGGGATGCAGTATAGGAGAAAAAAGGAGGTTGCAGAAAGCAGCGCGCGAGGTTCTGCTGCAAGTGTATGGGCCACTGTGCGATATCTCCTGCTTCAGGCTGACCTGTGGATTCAACTGACCAGTGTATATATATTCGCTGTATTCTTATTCTGGCTAAGTTTAGCGCTCTGCTATATCGCTACGTCAACTTCTGGATCCTTATTCACACAAAGGTTCTCGGTAATAGAGCCACAACTGTTCAGTGATCCTTACATGATGGAACAGGTATGTGCAGACTTAGTTTAATGGAATGAATGTATTGGTTGAATATACATCTGTAACAGCTGTGACTAAGGGCGTCTTGGCTGAGCGGAGCAAAATGATCCTCTCGTGGGCTACGGCACTATCCCGTCTCATTTTATTTTTATCCATTGCACTCGTTCAACAGCGTACAGCTTTCTAGCGCCCATAGGAGCCTAATATAGAGAGCTAAATATTGCCGGTGGATACCTGCAGCCACTATATACAAGATTTGGCTACTCCACTGATGCAACTAGCCAGCCCAAAGCGTAATGGTTTATATGATTAACCATTGTTTGGGTCATTCCGTCCCGTCCTGCTGCTTAATACTGGACTACCAAGTTCTCTGAACCTATTAACGCCTATTAAAGTTATAAACTAATGTGAAGGCGTCCGTGGCACGTACACTTCGGCTGCAGAAGTTGGGCCCAGATGCCCAAGTTGGAAGTCGTTTTTGCGATGCCCCGCTCCTGTATCACGTGTATTGACACCATGAACAACCGAAACGGAATTCAAGGATGCTACCACGGCTAGTCAGGCGGGAAAATCAAATTTTGTGCTCTACAAATATACTATATGGTAATTCGTGATAAGTACCGTGATGGTGAAGCGCTGTTACTACCAACAATACCATTGTTCCTCGTGTAAAAAGTTGTGCTGGAGCGCTGTTATCAGTTAACATTGGTGCTGACTCAACCCATTTTTCGCATAGCCATGCATTTTTATTGGCTGCGCGGGGTATGGACTAATCCGAATCCATTTCTCAATTCAGCCACAATCAAGCGAGCTGACTCCGCCACATCAGCTCAAGGCCAGTTTTTCCTTCCACCAAGCCTGATCTTTGCGAGAAAGCTGGGCTACATCTTCCAGACCCTGAAGGACTGCAGTCTTTTGAACAGGAGTCAAGATAATAGGTCCCCTGGAACCGAGGTCTTCTGCTAGGGATCTGGCGTCTGTCGCATCACGTAACTTTTTCGCAGGGGTCGGTCTTAGACCACAGCTATTGATCTTAAACGCAAGAAGGTCGATCTCTGAGATGTACGGAAGAGAGCTAGGCTCGGCACTCGAAATTGCTACAGCGGCTGATGGAAGATATGGCGACTTGTAATACGTCATTATAGGACCACAAAGTGGAGTTGATTTTGCGTACCTGCCAATCAGGGGTTATATCGATTTGAATAAGCTTGCCATTCTGTGCTTTATAGTAAAACAGCTGAGCGTGCTGCTGGAAAGAGCCTGCGTGTATGGCGAGCAATTTATCTTTAACTGCTTTGGGGGCTCCTTGGATGGTAATGAGGAAGTCAACATCCTGGTGAAGAGAATGATTAGTTACTTTCTCAAAGTAGCTAATTATAGTATAAAAACTAACCTCGGTAGTCCGATAGCGTCGGATATATTTCCAAAGGCTCAACCCTCCAATGACAGCAATCTTAGCGGCAGCAAACTCGGGGATAGTTTTGAGAATACGGATGACAGCACCCGCGGCGTCCTCTAATTCGGCAAAGGACGGTGCAGACATGGTGCCGGCGGGCAATGGCTTAAGGGGGAGAGCTATGACAATCTCTTTGTGACAATCTCATGGGGTGGGAAAAGTAAGAGATGAAAGAGAGCGATATTTAATATTTCGAAACCCTACCTGCTTGCTTCTCATTTGGTGCTTGCTTCAGTGAGGGGTTTTGTTGTCTATCACATCTTGAGTCATCTGATCAATCCGCTTGCCAGGGTAAGGCACCAGTTAGGACCATATATTAGGCGCCGCGAACCACTTTCATTCTTGGTGATGTGACGGAAACCTAACTTTGGAATCGATTCGTCCTACACCTAGCCGCTGATGGCAGATTTGCAACTCCAAATCCTATCGGATCTCCATCTGGAGTCGCCGGCTGCCTACGATATGTTCAACATCGACCCAAAGGCACCATTCTTAGCACTGTTGGGTGATGTTGGTTACGTCAAGGATGAGGGGTTCTTTCTCTTTCTCCGCAAGCAACTAGCAAAATTCCGGGTCGTCTTTTTGGTTCTAGGCAACCATGAAGCCTACCATAGCAGTTGGGCTGAGACAAAATCCAACATGCAACGTTTCAAAGATACCATGGACGCCTCCTCGGGAAAAGGTGAGGCGCTTGGAAAATTCATCCTGCTCGATCGAACGCGCTATGACATCTCACCGACCGTCACCATTCTTGGCTGCACTTTATTCTCACAAGTCGCTCCAGAACAAAAGGAAAGCGTTAGTTTCGGCTTGAACGACTTTTACCACATTCGCGATTGGTCGGTAGAAACACATCAAGCAGAACACCTTGTGGACCTTGCGTGGTTAAATAAAGAAATTGTGTCGATTTCCAGCTTCGAACCCGGGCGCAAAGTCATTGTTTTGACTCATTTTTGTCCTTCGACCCACCAAAATGTTATCGATCCCAAGCATACGAATAGTAAACTTTCTTCTGGATTTATGACCGATTTATCGAGCGAGCCATGCTGGCAGCAGAAAATCGTTGCCCTCTGGGGTTTTGGACACACACATCTCAACTGTGACTTCCGAGATCCAGCGACTGGGAAGAGAGTGATATCAAACCAGAGAGGCTATTACTTCTCTCAGTCAGTTGGTTTTGATAGTGGAAAAGTTGTCGGAGTCTGAACTAAGAGGAGGGTGGCCATAGATACCAAATGTGAGCTTCTATGACAACTTATACTTAGACATGGACCACTTGAAGAACATCATTATGCCTGGTAGAGTTTATTTGATGGAAGGAGCTGCCTTCTCTTTAAGTCACTGCGCAGTCCGTCCAGAAGTAGGTACATCCTTGAATCCCCATGTTTCAAAGCGAGGTAGAATCGCCTATACGCTTCTCCTAAGCCATCCTCGTTAAGAAGATCAACTCCATCAACAAACTCAAGCATATAAGTCAGGATTGCCATCCAGTAAGTTTCGTAAGCAGTGTCATAATCACGACAAAGCAGAAGTATCAGAGCTTCGCAGTACCTTGGGGCACTCGGGATTCGGACGAAAGAGTGACATGGAGAGAAACGCCCACGACCACGGCCCAAAATTGCGGTAGGAAGCCGAATGTCGGACGCAGCCATGATATCTGAATTATTGGGCTGTGGGGCAATTTCAAAGTCGGGAAAGGCCCAAAGTACATCGGATTTCCGGTATAATGACACAGCAGTCTCGCTGTCAATATGTAGATGCGCAGAGGGAGGAGGGCTTCGTAGCGGATTTGCATATGGGCATTCTGAGCTTTCCGTGCAAGAATGAAAGCCGGCCTTAGAGAGAGCGGAGAAGGAGACGTCTACCAGCGCATCTGGCACGACGAAGTCAACGCCCTTTCATTAATTAGCGGCGTCCCAAAGAGGAAGTTGTACCAGAAATACTCACGTCGACAATCGTAGGAACCCCATACACCGTAAGTAGATAATTACCCCAAAGAAGGTTGGGGACACGAGCTTTGTCGAGGAGCAAAGAGATCGATGCGACGAGGTCGTTATCTAGATGGTGGCCACGGAGATCATGGTTAGCCACCATGTTTCCTAGGTACAGATCATCAAGCAATTGATCATCAGGAAGCATGAGAGGGCAAGGTCGACCGGAACGAGAGTGGACAAGGCCAGCTTTTTAAGCAACGTTTACAACGTGACCATTTACCATTGTGAGCGAGGCACGGTTCACTTCAATTCAAGGGGCTCGGGGGGCTGACTTATGTAGATGGGTGACTAAGAGATACCACGTGATCATGCCGAATACCGTACGTCTCTAATAGCCCACCATGCGCGGTTGGACCCTCCTAACCTGGATGGCTCAGTGGTCAAGCGTCGTCCGGAGTGTTCTTACTGTTCCCGAAATCCAGTAGAGGGGGTCCCAACTCTGGCTCATAGGAGGAACTATATAGAGCTCGAATCCCACAGCAGGCATTGACCATGAGTTGTGGCAAAAGGGGAAGATAGGGCAAGGCTGTCGCTGACATGCCCTGCCGTTTGATGGGCCAAGGTTTTGGGTTGTCAGGAGGATACACAGGGAACCTCTCAGGAACCAGTCCTGCGTCTACAATGTCTTGGATCAACTGTCAGATAATACCAACTAGGAGGCTACTGTTACGGATCCAGACTAGCGCGGCATGACCAGGATAATATAATGGCCACGATAACGATAAGCGGTGAAATATTACCGCTGGCAGAATATTACCGGACCTACAACATTCGAGCACGTGAATATCAGCAGAGACGGAATGTTATGACCACGATAATGTTGAAGGACCTCAACATTACCAGAGCGATAATATTAGGAACCCTCGGTGTTAGCACGGTAACGCCGATAAAACCTAACCCTGGTGAACCCCTTGTGTAGTTTGTCTGACACAAACAACAAACGCCCACGGAAGTCACGTGAACAAATGGTATATACTCGCCAAGCAATGGTATTACAAGTACCACCCCGGTATATATAGACCATATGGTATACCATAGACCAGACTGGTACTCAGGGACCAAGGATATATAAGGACACTCATTCATGTACTTAGCTTAGTTCTTCGTGATCAATCTACTCAGTTACTACAGATACACCTTTCGTATTGTCACCAGCTCAACTCGTCTCGTACTATCTAACAATTAGGTATACATACTCAATTGGCCTGGCCTTTCTATCTTGGACTATCGTCGTACAAGCATCGTTTGTCTACATCGTTGAATACTCGTCGGACCTATCCGGTCACCATCGTCGTCGGTCACTAGTGGATTCTAGTCATCGAAGTAAGTCAGATCTAACCAAGATAGCTAACTGGTCGCAGAGTCCTTGGACAAATCCCTGGGCGTAACAGCTACATGCAGCCTATGTCCGCGAAAAGCCTGAGGAATTAAATAAAAAAAAAATAAATAAATTGGACCCGCCTACCAATTACAATGCTACGGCTGCTTGTTCGACAGCCAGTGCCGGGTTAGCACCCACAAATCTATTTATAAAGTGAGGGAGTTGAGTGTTAATGAACTATTTGCTATGTAGCCGTAAACCCCACTGATTATCACGCGATATGGATATTACGTAAACGAAGGATACGTAGACTTCCATCCACTGTTTGTTTTAAGAAGTCGTCACATGAGGAGGCACCAAAGTCTGGAGGGTTGGAAGAGCAGCGTCGCTGGGAATCTTCTCTAGCCAACTACATAGGCCCACAGATATCCATATGGACAAAGTTTTGCAATTTTGATTAGGGTGCGCAGACGAGATGTATTCTACCTACCATACCTTCCTGAACAGCTGCTTATGGACCGACCCTCTAGGCCAGCTGTAGTTCCAGGTATGAATCTCTGCCGGGGTTGTGGCCTTGTAGCCATTTTGCGGGATTTAAGGGAACATGTTACCTTGGCAAGTCATCATCTAGTACATCCTGAAGTTCCCCGTCCCGATTCCCAACTTTGTATCCATTCCCCCAGCCACCGTCGGATGCAGTGACATAGGACGCGAATGAGAGGTGAGTTCTCACTTCCTTGACATCAGGAATAAACATCTGGAACATGTCAGACGAGGAGAGGTCCATACCTGATTATAATCCAGTGCTGTGCCAACTTACCTGGTTGATCATTTCCTGGATGTGGGGAGTAATGTCGTCTGGCTGGTCTGCGTCTGGGGTTGATGGTGCTAGTGTTGCGGAGTCTTCAAATGCCGCAGGCTGCGAACGTCTTATTCTTGAGGGTCGTACTCCAAAAGACTTGGATTGAACCCGGACTTCTGCCAGGATATCGGTCCGAGAATAACCTTGTTACCTCTGACCAAGGTCGTCTCTTGTCCCTTCTTAGCTTCAGCAGAAAGCCCGCCTCTTCAGGGGACCATGGCATCCCCTTCCTAGAGCTGCCTTGGGCCTCCCCGCAATTGCGCTGAGTTTGTTCAATCTCATGCTGGGGAATTGAGCGACGGGTTGACTGCGCATCTCGGTCTTCACACGTTGTCGGACCAGTGTCAGGCATGCAACGTGGCAAGGCGCCTTCGAACAGCCAAGAAAGGAACTGCAAACGTTCATCAAGGGGCAGGCACAGGAAACGAGAGCGAAGAGAGGTAAATGAATCTTCAGTTGCAGGCATTGTAGAGAGATCTCGAAGCCGTTTAGGAGCTCGTCCTTCTGATTGATGCCTCTTTCGCTTGCAATTTTTAGACGGTTTGCCGTGGAGGTTTTTACTGGCGCCACTGGAGCAAGACGCGCCCGTTTCACTATTGTGATGGGATGGGTGTAATTGTCCGGGGCTCTGGATGTGGGCGTGAGCGTGAGCGTGATCCCTTGTTTGAATATTCCCATTCTGGCTGCGAGGCCGTTCGCTGGAAACTCTATGATGGTCAGGTACATGGTGGAGAATGGGTGGAGGTTCAGGATATGGACAAATTGTCTCTGAAATAATAAGACTGTCGTCTTGTAGGACAGGTTGGTGCAGGTCGCTAATTTCCCAAGGTCCGTCGTTGGCAAGGATTAACGGGTCAATGGGAATGTCGTTCTGTATATCTGGAAGCCTGAAGAACTCTTTTAAGCTATCGTCCGAGCTAGACATACTGGGTGATGATGGGCCATCCTCGACAGTATCTTCCCGAAAGAAGGGCGGCTCAATCGGAGTGTCAGTGATATCTTGGAAATCATAGGGTGATATTTCATCTGAATTTGAGGTGTGAGGTGCTGGATCGGGTGGAGATGCTGTGGCGTGCTTGGGCTTCTCCGAGGATGGTGTATTTGGTGGAGGTATAGATATCCCCCGTGGTTGAGATTGGGAGCTCAGTGGCGTACCCGGCTGAGTGTTTGTGCTGATATTCACACAGACTTCGGCCGGTGGCCGCGCAGGGAGGCTATGCTTGGGGAATGGCAAAGTGCTGGGGAGGGAATCATGCCGAGGGTTGGGGTGGGTGAGATTGCTGGCTCTTGGAGTGCGTGATTTGTGGGATTTGTGCTGTGAGAATGATTTTGTGTGAGGGGGAGTCCACGGTTTGAAGTTGTCCATGTGATGTGTAAGCAACATATTGCAGGAAATGGGATTTTCTGGAAGGGAGACGATTGGGAAGCTGGAGAGGGAAGGTGAAGAGGGAATAGAAATCGAAGAGGAGAGTGTATGTAGGTTATGAGGAAAAACGAATGCGACGCCGCCACTTTTGCAGGTTCCGCTGGCCTCCTTATACTTGCTCTCAGTGCATTGACTCCATCATTCCGCTTTTTTTATCGGAAGAAGTGGCAAGGCGAAGTCCTCGCATTCTCAAATCTCGCGAGGCTGCTGACGTGTCCATCCTCATAAAAAAAAAAGCGCTGCCTACAGACTGAATCCGGTGCCCTGCACCAATAGTGTCCAATTATTGCAGCTCCAAGCCTCACATGTCAAACATCCCATTGACCTAATGCAGCCTTTGGACCTGATTCGCAGGCATACACAGAAATGAAGGAAATGCGGCAATTTCGCTATTGGCTGATACACAGGGCGAGGACACGGAAGGAAATTGAGCCTGGTGGGTCAACTGATGGCCCTTGGGGAGAGAGACGTAGTCCGGATCACCCGAGGACGAATGCCATCCTAGGGACCTGGATCACCAGGGGCTGTTGTTCCCATACGAAATCTCAGAACTCCGTAGATGAAGTGATCACAAGAGTAGATACAAAAGTTCAGAGGAAGAGAGCAGAGGAACCAAAGGAAAAAGAGGGTGTATGTTGGAGATTGGAAAATTTAATCAGAAATTCAAATCAACGATCAGCTCGGACATGATAGGGCGAAAACCGTCATGACTGCATGACTTCGAGAGCCCAGCGGCCTAAATGCTACCATAAGCAAGAGAAACAGTACCAGGGGCGTGGTGGATAGCTCAAAATCTAATGAAGGGGGTGTAACCATGTCTCAATCCATCAAATGGCCTGTCGGCGACTCCGTCGCTGAAAGGGCGAGTGGGCGGCGCCATACTGGAAAAGGGCAATTGTCGGATAAGGCGGCATCCTTCGAAAAGGGGGCAGTGCATGGTGCGAGGGAGATGGGAGGGGGAGAAAAAGAAAAAAAGGTAAAGAGAATGAGAAAGTGCGTCGTCGTTTGAAGGAGAGAGGTTGGCCTTATATAGATGGAGTTGTTGTGTCAAGGCGGCAGGAGAGTCAAGTAAAAGCGGCGAGAATACGGGCGCGATACCCAAAGTGGTATATACTATACCACAACGGGTAGCATGACTACCAGGGGTGGCAGGCGGTGGCGGGCGGCAGACGGACGGTGCAATGGGAGCCGTTTCTGGTGCCCCGCTAACCGTCACATCTATAACTGATTATTTAATTTTCGATGTGTTAGATATAGCTGCTATATCTTAATTGCGTTTTGGTTGTCGAGGGAGCTCTATCAAGATAAATATCGATTTACCCCGTATTGGAGGCGTAGTTCTGGTAATTTGGTTATATAATTTTGAAAGAGAGTAAGTCGATATTGGTGCCTAATATCGGGTAGCTTTATAGAATACTGGAGAAAGTACTCCGTACGGAGTAGTCTAAATCGAGAACCCTGATAAAGTCAAGGTCTGCCCTTTAATATTCATTGACTGGGATAATATAAATAAATGCCCATTGCTATCTGGAATAAATGGGAAAAATTGCGAGACAGCAGTGTTTTCTCAAATAACGCGAGCTTGGCAGTATTTATAGATATATAACTCCAAACCCTCCATTCTATATACATACAAGGAAACCCCAATTCAACCCCAAAATGTACCTGAATCTACAAACACAGCACTATCAAACCCAATCAATCCCCTATCACGCAATCCGCCTTACAATGATGAAACCCTAGCTAACAATATATCTCCGCACCGCTCCCCAACGAACATCTCCATTCCATCCTCTAGACCAACCACCATCTGAAGAAACAGCCTGTAAGTAAAAGAATATAGAATATCACGCCTCAACCGGACCCAATGACGAATCTAGCCGTTGCATTATAAGGCAATTCTACCGACAGCATCGGCTAGTTATCTACCAGTTACGCGATGATACTGGCTGATGGCGAGATTGCGGGGTCGATCATCAATTTTTATTGTTAGTGCTCTTGTAGGTATATAGATGTGTAGAGGTAGCTGGGGAGATAAAATCTATATACATAAGCTCAAGCCACACAATTCAAGCTTACATAGCGAAAGAATAGACAACGCAAAATGGGTGACAGCAGCACCCAACCAGACCATGCCAATGGCACGACTCCCAAGAAACACATCCTGTTGAATGCGTTCGACATGTCCACTGTCGGACACTTGTCCCCTGGACAATGGAAGGTATTTATCCTATGTCTCTTGCTCTATTCTTAACCCACCATACATCCAAGATGGATATAGAACGATACTAAAGAACCAAGAATCCCGCCGACAAATCCGCCACAAAACGCTCCCTCACCTACTGGATCGAGCTGGCCAAGCTACTCGAGCGCGGCGGCATCAACGCCCTCTTCCTCGCGGATACCTACGGCGGATACGATACCTACGAGGACAGTCTGGATGAATGTATTCGGCGCGCGGCGCAGTGGCCCGTTACGGATCCTACTATTGTACGTTCCCCCCTTCGCTGCTCAGTATAGACCTACGTGTGTTGTGGGGATTTGGTGGCCAGACTCATGCTGACGGGTGCCATGCGACAGCCGATTTCAGCCATGGCGGCGGTGACGAAGAATCTCGCGTTCGGGATCACGGCGTCGACGTCGTTTGAGCCGCCTTTCTTGCTGGCGAAGCGGTTCTCGACGCTGGATCATTTGACGAACGGGCGCGTGGGGTGGAATATCGTCACGTCGTGGAAGAAGGCGGCGTTTAAGGCCATTGGATTGGATACGCCGATCGAGCATGATGAGCGGTATCGGCAGGCGGATGAGTATCTGCGGGTTGTTTATAAGTAGGTTCTCTCTTGTCTGTGTGGGTTTAGTGTGAGGAAAATGGAGAAGGGGAAAAAAAGAAAGAATGCTAAGAAGATAGACTCTGGGAAGGATCCTGGGCATCTGATGCGCTCTCCCCCGACCCCGAAACCGATACCTACGTGGACCCGGCCAAGGTGCGCCAGATCAACCACAAGGGGAAGTATTTCTCGCTGAACACGCGTCACATTGTCGATCCGTCGCCGCAGCGCACGCCGTTCCTGTTCCAGGCCGGCACGTCGGCAGCGGGGTCTGCGTTCGCGGCGACGCATGCCGAGGCGATCTTCGTGTCCAGTCATTCGCCCGCCGTGCTGCGGCCGAAGATCGATCACATCCGGAAACTGGCGGCGGAGCAAGGGCGGGATCCGCGGTCGATTAAGTTCTTCGCAACGTTTACGCCGATCATTGGGCGCACGGATGACGAGGCGCAGGCCAAGTATGAGGAGTTGAAGCAGTATGCGTCGGTGGTCGGCGGACTGGTGCTGTTTAGCGGGTGGACGGGGATCGATATTTCGCGGATTCCGCTGGACCAGGATATCACGGCGGCGGATTCGCTGGAGGCACATAAGGTGACGAGCATGTTGGATGCGTTCACCACGACGAGCGAGGATGTCCCCCAGTGGACGCCGCGCGTGGTGGCTCAGAAGGCGGCGATCGGGGGCTTGGGACCGGTGGGGATTGGCAGTCCGCAGCGGGTGGCGGACGAGCTGGAGCGGTGGATTCGGGAGGCAGATGTGGACGGGTTCAATCTGGGATACGTGACCACGCCGGGGACCTTTGAAGAGGTGGTGGATCTGTTGATCCCAGAGCTGCGACGGCGGGGATTGTATCCTGCCGCGGGGGCGGAGGCGGACGGGCTGACGGCGCGGGAGAAGGTGTACGGCAAAGGCCAGCGCGGGTTGCGAGCGGACCATCCAGGGAGTCAGTACAAGTACGAGGTTTATCAGGAAGACGACGCAGCTGTTGCTGAAAGAGAGGGGTCATGATGCGCAGATAGAGCGATAGAGTTGCAGTCCGATTCTTTTTCTTTCCGAAAGCTTACGGTTTTTAGTAGACTTCACTGTTTTGTTGTAGCCAGATTAAGCCTGACAGCCACAACGCCTTCTCCGTCACCACTGCCGAGGGCCATCCCTAACCCTAATTGTCAGCCATGGCACCATTCTAGATGGCCTTCTGTCTGGCGTGCAAATCCCGTCTGTTTGATGCACTTTCTCGATCGAGACTTGCGATTCCCTCCAAACCAGGAAACAAGAGAAATCGATGACCTGACGAGATACCAGGCAAGAATCCCCCCATCAGTCTAGACCGGTCGCTGCAGGACACGTTGTCTCGTGACCCCTTTCTCCTCTCGCCAGAGAAACCTCCGGCTTTTCAACCCTGGGTTCTGGGGATACCAGACGAAAGGGACCGTCGCATGGCTATCATGTGACAGCCCCAGATTATTCTCTATCAAGGGAATCCACACGTCTTTTTGCCGCGATCTAGAACCGGAGAAAGTTAACCTCAAATCCAATTCACCTCCCCCATCGCCATCCCTTGTTCCCGGCAACATACCGCTCGTCCGCGCTAAGACGAAGAAGGTACGGACCTTTTGGGGGACAAAACCGAGTCGCACAGGCACTAAAATCCTTAGTCGCCCTCCTACTTGATCTTCACATCCTGTGGTATTATGCACGGTCGTCTGGGTGGCTTGACCTTAACTTCGTTTTAGTTCGTTCGTTAGAGTCCCAAAGTGACAGGCGTCGTGCAGGGGAACAGGGGGGAAGCAAAAAGGAAGAACAAATCGGCTTGCAACCAGGGGTGATAAAGGTGTAAACTGTTGAATGAGGTAGGATCCTCGAGATGCATCCTCCTCGACTAGGACGATTTGGGATTGATGAATGAATCCATGGCAGGAGGAGGGGAACCCCCTTTGAATTCATCAGGACGAGGAGGTCCGTATAGTCAAAAGGCAGGCAAACAACTCACCATTTCACTTTGGACTAGTCGAATTAATTTCCTGGAACGGGGGGTCGAGGTTCATTCCCCATCCTGTGCTCCCGTACTTTGTGTGTCTTATCAGGCGTATTATTATGATTAATATTTTCGTTGCATTTATTCTCTCATCGAACAAAAAATACGCTTTTGCGTACTGGGGGGGAAGCAAACTCTATACGCCCGTACAACCAAAGTTTGAGATGCATTGGCATGTTCCGACGCAAGGCGGTTTCGGATGGGCCGAGTTGTATACTAGTCGCCCTCTCTCCCTTCCAGTCATAGATTGGGTAGGAATCCCTACCCAAGCACCGATCCATCTGGTCGGCAATGGTCCAGCCACGGCCGTGGTGGAGGCCTGCAGCCTGCATGCATATATCGAGGAGGATGTCGTCCATGAGGGAGTTGTCCGGTGGCTCGTCGAGCTGCCACGACTGGACCGTGCAGATGGAGCAAACAACAACAAAGACATGACGAACTATGTCGACTCCGTCAATAGCTCTTTCACGGTCTTGTTCTCGAGAACGGGGCAGGTCCCGTCCAAGCACACCCACAGACATCCACACCTAAACGACTGACATGCATGGTCTTTGTCGCGGGCACGCGGTAAGCTGACTATAGTTCTTACGAAAGGCTGTCCATGCCATCCCGAGGTTATCCCTGAAAGAGCAAAAGACAAAAAACCAACAACAAAAACATAAAAGAAAATGAAAATGAAAAAGAAAAAAGTCCGTTTGCATCTGGTGCAGCTGTCACCGTGGCCGCCACTCAGATCTCTCACCCGGTGACAAACCCCCGCTCTGCTTGCTGGGCACCGACAGACCGGATGAGGAGGTGTTCAACCGTTACTAAGTTCTATTTCTCCTATTGCTTCGTTCCCCCTCCCTACGACTAGTAAATTCCCAGTCTGTTTCCGTCTTGGGTGACGGGACCATCATTGGCGGATGACATCTGAGAGCATGGGAGGTTCCGACCAATCTGACCGAGGCCATCCATGGGGGAACGGCGCGGTTAATGGCGGGGACCAATGAGAGCCCCCCGCGGGATTTAATCAGCTCATTCTTTATGTTTGGGATTTGCTTTGATTCCATTTGTATTTTTTTTAATTGACTCATTTCCGCCGTAATAATGATCACCATCGTTCCGTCTCCTGTTTGAAAAAGATTACCCGGAATCGAAGAAAGTAAGTATAGAGTGTGTAAAGTCAGACTATTCCCACGGAGATCCAAAAGGTAACTAGCAGCATAAGAAAAATAAAAATAAAGACCACCCCAGAAAAGAAAAGTAAAAGCTTGCGTGTGTGTGTGTCAAAGAAACGTCCCAGGAAAACGACCACAAGAGAATAGTATCTGGGCTGACCGAGATCCCAATGCACAGCAGGCCCGACTTGGTAAAGCCAAGTGGGGTCCGACTAGACGGCATTCGGCTTAGCGGAAACTCCAGTCGATGGATCGGCCAACCACGCCGCCGCGCGACATCAGCCGAACTGCCAGCCTGACAAGAAGACCCAGACCCAGACTCAACTAGCGCAAGGATCTGATGGGATGGAGCTAATTTAGCGTGTTTTCTTTCCTTTTTTTTTTTTTTTTTTTTTTTTTTTTTTTTTTTTTTTTTTTTTTTTTTTTTTTTTTTTTTTTTTTTTTTTTTTTTTTTTGACTGACTGTTCGGGTTGTGCCGCTCCGACAGCGAAACAACTGCAGCTGGCCACAACTTCTGCTCGCTTCTCTCGACCGCCCCCCCCGGATGATTGGACCAGTGGACCCGAACCAGAGATCAGGACCTGGAGGCAATTGCTTGGACTTCGTATTCTGCAGGAGGCACGGGAACAGTTTTAGTTTATTTATGCTCTGGAAGGATCATTAATCACGAGAATGAAGATACGTTGGGATGGGTTGCTCGGTTATCTGGCCAATCCGTGGACTGCGGAGGACATCGCGTGGATAGCTTACTGCCGACTTGGTAACGAAGAGCGACTCTTATCGTCTGGTACTGGGTGTACTTCAGCGGGAACACTGGAATGAAGCAAAGGCGAACCAGCAGGAGTCGTTTGCCTTGAGACGAGGAATGGTTCTGGGATGGATCGGGGAAAGGTCCGTGCGGAAGGCAAATAGCCTAGAGCAGTCGATAATATGAGAGAACTGGTTCATTGTCCCCGGACTGCGGATGCTTTTCTCCTATTTGGGTGAGACGGATGTCTCTTCACTGACCATTATCACCGATTATGCAGTAAACAATGCCTCCGTGAATCTTTCACTCGTTGCAGTGAAGAATCAAAGAACGGTGGTGACTCCAGGAACACTGATAATGTGCATCCAGACATCCATCTTGTGTGAGGGTCCGTGTGCATCGTCCGTTCGAGTACTGAATATATTTCCTTGCCTAGGTCCTGACTCGCTGTCACGAAGATGATAGCTCAGGCTGCTCAGCTTTCTCCCTCCATTCCCCATTTGCCATGCATTCCGGGACGCAAGGAGGGCCACAAGCAGGAAAACAAATCATACAAACATGAACTAGAAAGAACCAAAAAGGTATATAGATAAAATTAAATCGAATCAAATAAAAAGACCTCCCCAGGACTAGACCGAATCCAAAAGATAGCTCAGTTCCATCACCAGAAGAAACAAGGAAGTAAATAAAAAAAAACAAATCGCTTATGTGACCCCTTTTTTGGCTTATCGGTCTAGGATTCTTTCTTTCTTCTCGATCGGATCCATACCGAGGTCCACTTGTATCTTTTTATTCTTTTGCTTTTTCCGGCTGTGGTTTGGCTTCCATCGACGTATTATGTAATGCGAATATGCAAGTCCTTTTGGCTTTTCTTTTTCTTCTCCCTCGGACTCTCAGATGTCGATCGAACACAGATCCCTTCCAACTCGCAGCATCGATCGTCCACCGCAGTAGCTAAGCTTATTCGGCGTGCTCCACCAAACAAGGAAACACTCATTAAGGGGAGCCCGCTGAGTTTCAGAGAACATTTCGATGGGCAGTACTCCACCGGCTGGTGACTGTTGATAGATAGATGGATCATTGATCATCCAACGAGTACAAAGAATCTCCGCATAAAGGAGAGTCTGATAGTCATCGGTTGAGCACGATGACTGCGGTTGAGGTCACCCAATGCGACGTCTTCCCAATTCGGTAAGAGCCATACATAGGAAACGTATTAATCTAATATAATGATGATGAGAGAGAGAGAGCGCTTGAAGAAACGATAACCAACCGGCAGCGGACGGTCACGAGCTTTTCATATGACATGATTCATCGTCGTCTCATCTTACTAGAATTGATTTTGGTTCTGAGGAGAAGGAAAAGGATACTTCCGTCGTGGTAGCCTCAGGGTACAGGGACGAAGTACTGTACCTTAACACCGACCTTTTTTTAGGTTGCTTTCGACCGTGGGTACCAACCGAAAGGTGGATGTGGACTCGTTTGGTGCCCTGTCAACCACGTTGTCGGTGTTGATCAGTTGTTAATTACCGTCTGCTGGGGTGCTATAATTATACAGAGGCAGCGTCTGAGGATTACACACGTTACTAGTAGTTATTTATGATCCAGTGATAGATTAAATTACCAAGGAATTCCCGTTGGTTCTGGGGAATGACCCTGAATATTCTTTTTCCTTTTCACACCTTTTCTCCCTCTGTCTCTGTCTGTCTCTCTGCCTCGCCCCCTCTTCCCCCATCCACTCTCCCCGTTCCTTTTTCTCGATCTCCCTGACCTTCCCGAGTTAGTCAGAACCACGCAAGGTCCGAGAGGGAAGGAAAAAGAAAGAAAAAAGAGGAGATTCTTGGAAATCTGGTTGGTCGACCAATCTTATCCGGGTCGAACTAAACCAGAAACCGCGTTAGTCTCCAGTGTTAATTCACTTTTCTCATTCGAAGAAAAAAAAAAAAAAAAAAAAAAAAAAAAAAAAAAAAA